ACGGTTCTGACCACCTCACCTCGGAAAGGGTAAGGTAGAGTTGCAAAAGGCTCAGAAGAGGGCAGCCAGAATGGTCAGGGGGACGGAGAAGCTGCCCTGTGAGAACAAGTTGCAGCACTTGGGGTTTTTTGAGTTTGGAGGCAAGTAAGGGGCAAAATGATCAAAGTTTATTAAAAGTATACCTGGCGAGGAGAAAGAGGATGGAAAAACACTTTTCTCCCTCTCTCATTGTGGGATGCATCCAGTGCCGGATTTACATATAAGCTAAACAAGCTCTAGCTTAGGGCCATGCTCTCTTGGGGACCCCCCCCCCAAATTCAAAGAAAAAAAACCTGGATGTACATTTCCAAAATAGAAGATAAAAAACAAATAAAATAAAACCTACATACAGCAAGAGTGTTTTTCGGTGCATTTCAGCTCAACAGTTCACAGTTGGAGGCAGCAATTCTGAATCTCAGTTGCTAGAAACCCCAGGAGGAGAGAGGGATCCCGTGTGCGAATCCTGCTTGTGGGTGCCCCTTAGGGTGTCTGGTTGGTCCCTGTGAGAACAGCAGGCTGAACCAGATGGGCTCCTGGCCTGATCCTGCAGATGCTTTTCTTAGATTCGTCTGCAAACTTGGGATTCTGCAGAGGGCAGGAAACTCCCGCTTCAGGAACTGGGAAATCTTTTCTGAAAAGCAAAGCCAGACTCATTTGGCTGAAGGTCGGATTCAGGACATCCCCCCAAGTGAGGAGGACACACAGCCCTCTAATGTCAAATGTAATAGGAGTCCATGGGAAAGAGTGGTGAACCCAGAGGCCTCCAGCCTCCTCCACAGACAGGGACCAGGATGATGGCGCTTGGCCGAGGGCAGTGGGCAGCCTCTGCCGCCTTATGGGATGGGCAGTCACTGAGGCTCTGCCTCTGTTGCGCAGGAGCTGGAGACAGGAGGAAGGAACAGCCCAGCGACTCACCCACCAATAGCAGGAAGGGGAAACGTGGAATAGATTGACTAGAATTAAAAACTAAATGGAAATAAATTACATTCAATTGGCAACTTTCGGGACTAAATTATTGCATGGTGCTCAAATTACATACAAAGGAATCAGTGTCTGGTAATTAATGCCTTTCATTAATGGTATATCATTTAAGCCTGCCGTCTGTTTCAGCTCTTGATGTGATTAAAGACACGTAGGATGAATGGGATCCTGGAAACGACAACTGGTGAAGCCCTGGAAGCGTCTGCCCCACTCAGGCAGAGAGCCACTCCAGCTCAGCAGTGGGGAGGATGGGGACCTGATGGAGGAGATATCCTCTGCAGGGCCAGCCATCAGCCCTGACCGTTGAACATGCTGGTTGGAGCTGGTGGGAACTGGGCGGGTCCCACCGGGAGTCCTTTGTCCAATTCTGGGCACCACAGTTTAAGTAGGATGTTGACAAGCTGGAAGGTGTGCAGAGGAGGGCAGCCAAGATGGTCAAGGGTCTGGAAACCAAGCCTGATGAGGAATGGTTGAAGGAGCTGGGCAGGTTTAGCCTGGTAAAGAGGAGACGGAGAGGAGAAAGGACAGCCATCTTCAAATATCTCAAGGGCTGTCCCATGGAGGATGGAGCGAGCTTGCTTTCTTCTGCTCCGGAGGGCAGGACTCGGACCAATGGCTTCAAGTTATAAGAAAGAACATTCCAATTTAACATCAGGGAAATGAGCTCAATTCTTGGACCAGCTCTGAGCATGCAAGCATTTGAGTTTCCCAGGAAGCACGCAGGCTCTTAAATCAGTCAACAATATTTTTTTTATTGAATTGTTACGCTGCCTTATCGGAATACCTCAAGGTGGCCGGCAGAAAGAAAGGCAAATGTTAACTTTGTATGGCAGCATCATAAAGATAAAAGCACCATCCATCTCACTCGAAACCAGAAACTGAGAGGCAAGACACGGAAGAAGGGACAGAGGAAGCAGCTGCCTTATCCTGAGCCCAGTCATCAGGGATTCATCTAGCTCAATATTGTCTACTCTCCAACAGCTCTCCAGGGTTCCAGGCAGGGAGCCTCTCCCTGCAGATTCTGGGAATTAAACCTTCTGCAAGCAGAGCAGGTGTCCTTTGACTGAGCTATGGTCCTTGCAGCTAGGAACCCAGGAAGTTGCCTGGTCTATCCAGATAGAGACCCACGTTGAATGCTGGGAATGCTCGGTGGGGAATGAACAGATGGGGGGAGTCATGCCAGAAAGCCACACATTTTGGTATGTTCTTCTTTGTGCTCATGGGCTTATTTGGGGCATCTGCCTGGCTTCTTCTGCCCTTGATGGACCCGCCACGGCCTGCTCTGTTCCACATGGCCAATGGCACCCAAAATAGCCACTGTATTTCGACTGCATGGCTACTAATAGAGGGTCATCGGTCTCTGCCCTGCGATCTACGGAAGAGCCTTGGCTCTGTGGCAGATCATCTGCTTGCATGTAGAAGGCTCCAGCTTCAAGCCCACCTTGGGGCCAGTTTACCTGCAACATCACCTTGCCCCACAGGTGCCCCCTCGAACCGCTTTCATCAGCAGAACTGGGGCTGTTACAGCTGCATCACACCCATTCCACAATGGTAAGAACTCCGTCTTTTAAAGTGTGGCAGCATCTCTGGAACTCCCTGCCTGTGGACACCAGGCAGGGGCCTTCGCTGTACCCTTCTCAGTGCCTGCCAAAAACATTCTTGTGTAGATGAGCCTGCCCAGGTGCTTAGAAAGTGGATGCGAGTTTTCATCCGCTTTTAGTTTAAAAGCAGATCTTACCCTTTCAGTGTTTTAAAGAGTTGGGTTTTTTAACTGATAAGTGGAGGAATGATGGAGGACGATGGGAGGTTGGATGCAGGTGAGCTGTGCGTGAGCAAGCTGGCAAACAGAGGCCCCTTTTATTAGCAGAAGTCAACAACTGGAAACAGTAGTGAAACCACTCTGAACATGACGCATTTCCATCTAAGCACATTTCCAGCATTAGCAAATGCACATGTTGGCAGGTGTTTCCCTAAAATGCGTCCCCAGTCATGCTCCAGCCAAGCATTATGTCTAGTAGCCAAATCTGTGAGAGGACAAACGGCCAGGGGAGAAACCCTGTCTTCTAGCCAAGAGGCAGGAGTTCAAGGAGCGTGGGCGCAAGGCTCCCTGGCACCCTGTTGCATGCCAGGTGCGAGGTGTGCCTCAGCACAAGCGGAGCGTCATCTCCACAGATAAGTTTACTGATTTATTCTCTTTGCAAACCGCTTTGAGGTTTTCTCATAATCCAGTGGTGCATGGACGTCATGCAATAAAATAGAATAAATAAAATGAATCTCAAAGCAGAGCTGGGAGAGGCGCCTGTCTGCTGCCAGTCAGTGCAGACAATACTGGGTTCAGTGGACCAATGGGCTGACTCAGTGTAAGGCAGCTTCCTCTGTTCCCAGCTCAGCTCTGACCACTTATTGAGGAACGGGAATGAGCTGAAATGCTGACTGGCTGAAGGCTCAGGGGAGGCCAAAGTCTGAGGTCTGGGTCTCTGTGGGGGGTGCAATGGCCCCCAGTTAGATCCTCACCCTGGCCTCTCCTCTGCCTCATCAGTCACTGGGGATGCTGGACAAGACGGGCCTTTAGTCTGACCAGGGCAGCCAAGCTTCTTCTGACCATCTTCCCTCATCCTTCTAAGGCAAGGCAGAGTGACACACTCTCTGCAGGTTTACTGGATTTTGCGTTCCATTTCTGCTGCTGCTTGGAAACTGGAGCCGTAGCTGGCGATTTCCCACAGCTGATAGTGTTATGTTGTGATTTTGTGGGTTCTGTTGCTGCAAATTTAATTCCTTTTCTGCCTCAGCCTTCACTGGTGTCCAATTCAATCACCTGCGGCCATTTCACGGTCCAGGCGAACATTTATCTCGGCCAGATCTATATCAGGTTAAGCCCCCGAGATCCAGGGTCCTGCTAGGGGGCAGCCTCTTCCAAGCTCACATGCTCAATGCTCCCTCGGGCATCCCAAACCAGTACAAAAATGAAGGGATCCCCTGGCAGAGGGTTGTACCATCACAGGGACCCTAAATCGCCATCTAGTCCAGCTCCCTGCAGTGCAGGAATTGCAGCTAAAGCATCCGTTTGACCTCCATTTAAAAACATCCAACGAAGGAGATGGCAAGAGCCGTTCAAGCTCTTGCACCAATGAGCGGCTCTCACGCCAGCTCTTGCACAAATGTTCTGGAGGGAGGGGGGCTTGTGCCACTTTTGTTACGCCCCTCCAGATGGCAAGGATGCCGTGATTTTGAGGAAGCATCTCAGGGCAACTAATAAAGCGGAAGCATTGCAAGCTGTTGGACTAAAATGACACCTTCCAAATCTCTAAGTCTATGGAGAGACTCCCCTGTGAAGAACCTCTGCAACATTGGGGGACTTTTTAGTTTAGAGAAAAGGTGAGGAAAAGGCGACACGATGGAAGTGAATAGAATTATGCCTGGCGCAGAGAGCGTGGCTGGAGAAAGGTTTTCCTCCCTCTCACATCACACCAGAATTTGCAGGCATCCAATGAAGCCGAATTTTGGAAGAATAAAAGAAAGTCCTTCTTCACACAGCACAGAATTAACCTGTGGAACTCCTTCCCGCAGGAGGGATACGGCTATCTAAGAGCCACGATGGCTCGGCTCTGCCTCAGTTGCTCAAGGCAGCAAAGCTTTGGAATACCAGCTTCTACAGGGCTCTTGTGCTCAAATCCTGCTTCCTGGTTTCCCATAATACTAGTCATTTTGGTTGGCCACCGCTGGACTAGATGGGCCACTGGGCCTGATCCGGCAGGGTCTTCTGGGGTTATTATGATTCCATTATGTGCCAAGGGTCAAGTGTGAACCCATTGCTAACGTACCATCCCTAGTTACAGGTAGGTAGCCGTGTTGGTCTGCCGTAGTCGAAACAAAATTAAAAAATTCCTTTTTTGTTATTGTTTTGATCTTGGTATGAGCTTCCATGTGCATGCACACTCCTTCAGATACACTGAAAGAGAAGTCACCAGACCCTTATATATAGTGAGAGGGTGAGGAGGGGTATTACTCAGAAGGGTGGTGGGAATGGGTGATTGGCTGATAGGTGTGCTAAACCTGTCCACGACTGTTAACGACTGCAATTGGTCTTACAGGAAAAAGCAAGGGGTGAGATGGCTAAAAGCTATCAGCCAATCACCCATTCCCACCACCCTTCTGAGGAATACCCCTCCCCACCCTCTCACTATATACAGTGGTACCTCGGGTTAAGAACTTAATTCGTTCCGGAGGTCCGTTCTTAACCCGAAACTGTTCTTAACCTGAAGCACCACTTTAGCTAATGGGGCCTCCCGCTGCCACTGGAGCACGATTTCTGTTCTCATCCTGAAGCAAAGTTCTTAACCCGAGGTACTATTTCTGGGTTAGCGGAGCCTGCAACCTGAAGCGTATGTAACCTGAAGCGAATGTAACCCGAGGTACCACTGTATAAGGGTCTGGTGTCTTCTGTTTCAGTGTATCTGAAGAAGTGTGCATGCACATAGAAGCTCATACCAAGAGCAAACTTAGTTGGTCTCTAAGGTGCTACTGGAAGGAATTTTTTTTATTTTGCACCATCCCTAGGTCAGCGATTCTTTGCAGAATACACCCTTGGGGTACCGGGAACGACACCCCTGCCCCCAGTCTGGAGGAGCCCTGAAAGACAGTTGGGTTAGTCCTGCGCCTCAGCAGCCTTCGGGGAGCCCACAAACCCCCCTCCCCGCGCATTGGGGCTCCGTGCCAGCCTCGCTGCGCCCCCCCTTCGCAGCCTCGCCTAGCCCAGGCAAGCTGACAGAGGGAGTCCCTCCCGAGGAATTTCGAGAGAGCAGACGGAGCCCGGCGAGAGTCGGCGCAGGTGCCTCTCAGATGAAGCAATTAATTGACAGAACAATTAGAGCTATATTTAGCCTGTTTGCACACAACAAACACGCGGAGATGAAAGGCGAACAATGCACAATGGCGGCAATTAACATTTCCTTCCACTTAACAGCTGCAGAAATTAGGGTCTCGCGGAGAAGAAAGTCGCCGCGCAGCTTCCTCGCGGCTCCCCGGATCTTGCGCGCGGCGTCTCCATCCGAGCTCCAAATCGAGGAGGGTTCCACCTGCTCCGAAGGAGACCGTGCAGTTTAAGCGACAGCTGACACATTCAGAAGGAACAGACGGCAGGCTCCGCTTCGAAGGGAGAGGCTCCTTTTGATATGCAGACCCCCACAGATGCGCAGCAGCCCCCCTCCCCAGCTTACAAATTAGCGGAACAATATTTGAAAAGCCACTTCAAACCACACCCGATTTGCAATTTACGCAAAGCTGCATGCTTGAAAGTGATCGCCGCTGCAGTGATCGCTCAGCCTCCCGCAAAGGGAGGCCTTGGTGAATCTCCGGAAAGAGGCCCTCCAATCAAAGAATTGTAGAGCTGGAGGGGACCCCTGAGGGCCATCTAGTCCAGCCCCTGCAATGCAGGAATCACAGCTAAAGCATCACTGGCAGGTGGTCCTTCAACCTCTGCTTAAGAACCTGCTTAAGAAAGTGAGGAGGAATTAAAGAACCTTTGAATGAGGGTGAAAGAGGAGAGGGCAAAATATGGTCTGAAGCTCAACATCAAAATAGCGAAGATCATTGTTAGCAGGACTTGTTCCCCTTTGCGCCAGAGCCCAGCCTCAGACGCTTTCAAGGAGAGGGAAAAGAATAAGGATTGCTCTGGATCCCAGCACCCTGCAAGACTGGGGGGCTCAGAGGTACAGAGGCACTCGGCACATGCTCAGAGACTCTCTCTTTCCCCAAAGCATCACAGAAATCAATCCACGAGGACTGTTGAGGTGGGTATGAAGTAGGCCGCTTTTCAACAAATAACCCTCAAAGGGTGACAGCAAACTCCTGAATTGCAAGGCGTAAAGAGTAAAGAATGGATGCTTTTGAATTCTGGTGCTGGAGGAGACTCTTGAGAGTCCCATGGATTGCAAGAAGATCAAACCTCTCCATTCTGAAGGAAATCAGCCCTGAGTGCTGACTGGAAGGACAGATCCTGAAGCTGAGGCTCCAAGACTTTGGCCACCTCAGGAGAAGAGAAGACTCCCTGGAAAAGACCCTGATGTTGGGGAAGATGGAGGGCACAAGGAGAAGGGGAGGAGATGGTGGGACAGTGTTCTCGAAGCTACCAGTATGAGTCTGACCAAACTGCGGGAGGCAGTGGAAGACAGGAGTGCCTGGCGTGCTCTGGTCCAGGGGGTCACGAAGAGGCGGACATGACTAAATGACTCAACTACAACAAAGAACCTGCAAGGAAGACCTTTCCCAGCACCTTCCAAGGTCACAGAATCATAGAACGGTGGGCTTGGAAGAGTCTCCCAAGGGAACCCTAAATGAAGTTTATTTGTTGGGATGTGAACAGATGCTAGGAGAGGATATATTTATTAGACATTATCCTTCCTTCCTCATGTTTGTCAGTTCAGCAGAGGGCCCACAACTGAAGGGGCCAGTGCCGCCTGCAAGTGATGTCGGCATGCACACGCCATGTTGACACCATGCACACACTTCATTTTATTTAATTTATTGAATTTTCTATACTGGCATATATCTATCTAATCAAAATAAAAACAACCACCCAATAACACCGCCCCAAAAAAGAGCCACATTTTAAAAGGACATAGGATGTCAATCAAATCAACCTGGTTAAAAAGGGATGTTTTTGCCTGGTGCATAAAGGTGTATAATGAAGGCGCCAGGCAAACTTCCCTGGGGAGAGCATTCCACAGACGGAGCCACTGCAGAGAAGGCCCCGTTCTCATGTTGCCACCTCTGGACTTCTCGAGGAGGAGACACACCAAGGGGGGCCTCAGGAGATGGTATTAGGGTCCGGGTGGGTTCATATGGGGAGAGGCGGTCCTTGAGGTATTGCGGTCCTGAGGCATTTAAGGCTTCATAGGTCAAAACCAGCACTTTGAATTGGGCCCGGAAACTAATCAGTAGCCAGAGCAGTTGGACCAGGATTGGTGTAAGATGCTCAAACTGTCTTGCTCTGGTGAGCAACCTGGCTGCTGAATTCTGTACCAGCTGAAGTTTCCAAACTGTCTTCAGAGGTAGCCCTACATATAACGCATTGCAGTAGTCTAACCTTGAGGTTACCAGAGCCTAGACAACAGTAGTTAGGCTGTCCCTGGGTGTAGCTGGGCCACCAGACAAAGCTGATGGAAGGCACTCCGGGCCACTGAGGATGTGCTCACATGTTGTAATGTTCTGACATGTCCCATGCATGCCGCCATATAACCCACAAAACACGGTAGGACTTTGTGAGACAAACACATAAAAACTAAGCTGAACCATGAGTTCTTGCACTAAGAGCGGAAGTCCAGACTGTTTTCCATCCACTTTCTCCTGGGCGTGGATCATTCTACAGATCTCCATCTTGCCGCCTCCAGACTGAGAAGTCTCAGGCTCTGCAGCCTTCTTTGCCGGAGGCAGGAGGGAGAGGCCGGCCACCTTCTCCTTTATTGCCAGTGTACTGCTTGCTGGTACAGATTACAGAAATTGCAGATAATAGACCCCAAAGTAATTACTGGCTGACCTCTGCTCCCCTGGCTTAGTCAGCAGCGCTGAGCTCACCTCTTCTCTCCGGCTGCTGCTGCTGCAGATGCTGGGCTTACTCTGTCATTATCCAACGGCGGGAGCAGCAGTGACAGGCGGCTTCATTACGAGGCTCTGAGAGGGCCTGCGGCGAGCCACTGCCCCCGAGAGACGGGAGTTGTTAGCAGGACTTGTTCCCCTTTGCGCCAGAGCCCAGCCTCAGACGCTTTCAAGGAGAGGGAAAAGAATAAGGATTGCTCTGGATCCCAGCAACCTGCAAGACTGGGGGGCTCAGAGGTACGGAGGCACTCGGCACATGCTCAGAGACTCTCTCTTTCCCCAAAGTGTCACAGAAATCAATCCACGGGGACTGTTGAGCTGGGTATGAAGTAGCCGCTTTTCAACAAAGAACCCTCAAAGGGTGACAGCAAACTCCTGAATTGCAAGGCGTAAAGAGTAAAGATGTATGGAAGTGAGAGCTGGACCATAAAGAAGGCTGATCGCCAGATAATGGATGCTTTTGAATTCTGGTGCTGGAGGAGACTCTTGAGAGTCCCATGGACTGCAAGAAGATCAAACCTCTCCATTCTGAAGGAAATCAGCCCTGAGTGCTCACTGGAAGGACAGATCCTGAAGCTGAGGCTCCAAGACTTTGGCCACCTCATGAGAAGAGAAGACACCCTGGAAAAGCCCCTGATGTTGGGAAAGATGGAGGGCACAAGGAGAAGGGGACGACAGAGGACGAGATGGTGGGACAGTGTTCTCGAAGCTACCAGCATGAGTTTGACCAAACTGCGGGAGGCAGTGGAAGACAGGAGGGCCTGGCGTGCTCTGGTCCAGGGGGTCATGAAGAGTCGGACATGACTAAAGGACTAAACAACAACAAAAGAGTAAAGAGTTTCAATTCAGTCACTTTTGGCTTGAAGTGGGATAGAGGGATTCCTTTCTAAATCATACTGCATGTGCTAATTGACTTACCAATGCCATGAGGTGTGTGTTGTCATCAACAGCTGTTAAGGGAGTGTCTGTGGCTACATACTCTCCAAGTGTCCCTATTTTCCAGGGACAGTCCTGGAAGTATGAAGGCCACCCCAGCTTCTGATTTGATCCCAGAATGTCCCTATTTTCCCTGCCTGTGCCGCTGCCGTCGCCGCCAAACTCGGAGAGGAGCCCTTTCAACTCTGCAATTCTATGATGGAGACAAGTAAATAAAGGCAGAGGTGGTTTCACCCCCCTCCCCTGGTTGTTGTGAGGATGAAAGGGGGAGGAGGGGAACTACACACGTCCCCTTGAGCTCCTTGGGGGAAACATCACCCATCGATTACAGAAGCTGGAGGGGTCCCCAAGGCTCATCTAGTCCAGCCCTCTGTAATGGAATCATAATAGCACCTGGCCATGCCCCCCAGGGAGAGTGGGGCACCTCCTTGTCCTGCAGGGCACGTAGGTGTTTCAGAGCCTGGATTTCTTCCTAAAGACAGGCTGGCTAGACAATCACCTCCAGACCTTTTGCAGTTTTAGCAAGGCAGGCTTTGCAATTCATTTCAAATACCCTTGGCTTTCCCTATTAGCCTATCTGACACAGATCATTTGCAGATGCTTAAGTCACGGTGCTCTTTCCGCTCTCTCCCCCCACCACCTTCTCCTTCCAGCTGAATCAAAATTAAGGCTCCAGCAGCTCAGTTAATGCACATTTACCTGGCTGCAGCTCGTCTGCCTTCAAGGACAATAAATTCCCCGTCCTTGCTTTTCCCTGATAGTCCATAAAGTGCATTGGGCTGCAGACCAATTTGTACAAGCCGGGACAACTTCCCTATTACAATAAGGAAGCAAAAATAATTATGACATTCCAAGGGACTCAGGGGCACGTCTGGAGACTTCGGCGGCTCGTTGGTCCCTAAGCCCATCTTTTGACAGCGACGTGTGGCAGGTCCTGCTGCCTTCAGAACATCTGCTTCAGTGGCCAGTGTGTTCCTGAGTTCTCCTGGCCAGTTTGTCCCCAGGGAATCTTCTCTCATCCTGCTCCAAGTGGTGACGCACCTTTAGATACCTGGGCAGCCTCTCACCTGTGGGGAGGGGGATTTGAGGGTTCAGTATGGAGGCTCAAACCAGATTCCCAATTAGGCTTTTTATTCAGTAATGCATCACTGGACAGAGTCCAAAAGAGTCTGTGAGAGCATTTCCAGCAAGAGCACACACCCCATATAGGGGGGAAAATTCATCATATTGGCTGTTTATTCTCTAGGCAAGCCACCTTCTGCCAGCCTAGCACCTTACCATCTCTTTGTCCAACCAGAATCCTTGAGAATGCTTACTTAAATCAAGTATTCCACCAGTCTCCCTGTATGTGCAGAGCCTAACCCTTACAGTACCTGGTCATGTTGGAAGATTCCAGTTGGCTTCCAGCTCATCTCACACACAACTCTCTGGAAATTGTTCTCCTACTGTTCTCCTAGCTGGGTGAGGGGGTGCAGGAAAGGCCCCCTCACTTAGTTGTAGCTCTTGCAACTGAGCTCATTCTTTCGGGATGGCGATGAAGACACTTGAGTAACTATGGCTGTTGTCTTGCAAAGAAACTTCTCTGTCTAGTTCAGCTACAGAATCCTCTTTTAGATTATAACCTCGCTGGGTACAGGACCCCAAGAACTGGGAGGGACTCGGGGCATCATCCAGACTGACCCCCCCCCCCCGCCTACCCACAGCGTCTTAAACCAATTGGCTATTTTGGGGGCCACGGAGTTCTTCTCAGCTCTCCTGTAAATTTCCCAACAGAACTTACTTTGTATGAAAGGAGAAGTCCTTTTTACTTAACACAATTTCCATCAAAGCCAACACAGGGTAAATTGGGTCTCTTATTTAAATTGTCCTCAGCAACGAGGAATGCCTGGTTCTGTGGGGGACGCTTGTGGAGAGAGCATTAACATCCAAATTAACTAGAATATAATCTTCATCAATCTGTTTTATGCCTTCAGGCGGGTTGATAAAATCTATAGAATCCCTAATGAACCAAATTAGAAAAGGAGCAACAATGGATGAGGGGGGGTCCTCCTTGCGAAGAGCCCCAGCCTGACGAAGCGGCTCTAGCCAGAGAGGCGGGGGGGGGGGGGCCTTGAACACTTTTGGTGGCACGTAATGAGGAATGTTCAAAGTCTTCTCCTGCAATAAGGAATGAGGTGCCTGAGACGTTATCAGTTCCATCAACACTCCACCTTGCAAAACAATATTAATTGCATATTTATAGGAATCGTAAGAACGTTATCAGAAGAAATGGTGCAAGTTCTATATAAGATTCAGGCTGACAGGCCTCTGCAGCTGCTTAGCATTTTCTTTGAGGAGCCAGTCATTTTAATGGTTGTTTTATACTTTTTTTTTTTTAATCGTTATTATATTACTGTACACCTGCCTGGTATTTTCAGAAAGGGTGGTATAGAAATGCTTGAATTAATTGATTAATTATCGTATTTATAACCCACCTCAAGGTTGTGTGCATGGTTCTCCCTCTCCCCATATTATTCCTACAAAACCCTAACCCCTAACCCATAACCTATACCCCTAACCCCTAAACCCTAACCCCTAAAGCCTAAAGCCTAAAGCCTAAAGCCTAAAGCCTAAAGCCTAAAGCCTAAAGCCTAAACCCTAACCCAAAACCCAACACCCAACACCCAACACCCAACACCTAACCCTAACCCAAACCCAAACCCAACCCTAACCCCTAACCCTAACCCTAACCCTAACCCTAACCCTAACCCTAACCCTAACCCTAACCCTAACCCAAACCCAAACCCAAACCCAAACCCAAACCCAAACCCTAACCCTAACCCTAACCCTAACCCTAACCCTAACCCTAACCCTAACCCTAACCCTAACCCTAACCCTAGCTGAGAGAGGGTGACTGGCCCAAGGTCACCCTGTGAGCCTCATGGCCAAATGGGGGGATTTGTGTGGGAATTTGCAGCCAAAATAACTTTTTTTACTAAATAAGGACACTTCCCTTCCCTCGATTTATCTGGTGGGAAAAAGAGAAAAGGGTTTAATCTTTCCTACTTTCTCCTGATTCAGAACTTCGCTCTCTCTTCCACCAGGCTTCTGAGGCAGGCAGCCTAGTCTCTGTTCAAGGGGAAGACTCCATTTTTGAACTCAAACTATTTATCTTGCAATTTAGAAGTAGAATTTGCTTGCCTTGTTTTTGTTACTCTTACTGCCGGAATCGAGCACAAGACTTTTATGTAAGTAAACAATATTTTTATGCTTAATCTACAGTCTGTTGCAGGATTCTTTTAATTAAGAGGGGAAAGGGGGAAATCTAGTCTGTTACCACAGCCAGGATAAATTGCAATAAGGCTACACAGCCAAGTCTCAAAGTTTCCACTTTAATGCTGCAAGGGAGGGTGTTTTAAACTTTGCTAATTGTTTTAAGTTTAAATGTCACATACATTAGTAGTAGTAGTAGTAGTAGTAGTAGTAGTAGTAATATACTGGCTGGGTTTCCCCAGCCAGTCTGGGCCACTTACAGAATATATAAAACATAATAAAGCATCAAACATTAAAAACTTCTCTAAACAGGGCTGCCTTCAGATGTCTTCTAAAAAGTCAGATAGTTGTTTATTTTCATGACATCTGATGGGAGGGTATTCCACAGGGCAGGCACCACCACCGAGAAGGCCCTCTGCCTGGTTTCCTGTAGCCTCACTTCTTGCAGGGAGGGAACTGCCAGAAGGCCCTCGGAGCTGGACCTCAGTGTCTGGGTAGAACGATGGGGGTGGAGATGCTCCTTCAGATATACTGGACTGAGGCCCTTTAGGGCTTTAAAGGTCAGCACCAACAATAATAGTAATAGTAAATGGTAAAAATATTCTATCCTGCCTATAAAGCATCCATCCAACAAATTGAACCCTGGGCTCCCAGATCCTAGTCTGACCACACTGGCTCTCGCAGAATCATAGATTTGTAGAGTTGGAAGGGAACATGAGAGTCTCTAGTCCAGCCTCCTGCATTGCAGGAATCATTTGCCCAGTGTGGGTCTCAAACCTGCAACCTTGAGATTTAGAGTCTCACGCTCTACCAAGTGAGCTAAAATGCAACTCAATGTTGCTTAATCATAAGGAACTGCTGCTTCTTGGAAACATGACTGCCAGTTATACCGTGGTGCCCTTATCCAAATGCACATCTGTTGAGTCTCAAAAAGAACTGAGAAAGGAGCAGGAAATGCCAGTAAAATTAAAGGGGGGCCTGGAGTATCTTCCTCGTGAGGAAAGGCTGGAGCATCCTTCCCCAGCCTGGTGCCCTCCAAACGTTTTGTCTGGCCACCACAGCCATATGGTGCTAGGGCTGGCTGCAGTTGTAGCCCCAAGCACCTGGAGGGCACCACGTTGGAGAATCATAGAATCATAGAGTTGGAAGAGACCACAAGGGCCATCGAGTCCAACCCCCTGCCAAGCAGGAAACACCATCAGAGCACTCCTGACATATGGTTGTCAAGCCTCTGCTTAAAGAAGAAGGCTACGCTAAACCTAAGAGCAGAAGAAGAGCATATTAGGGCAATGGCTCCTTTGGCCAACATCCAGTCCTCACAGTGGTCAAACAGATCCCTGTTAGGACTGGACGATATCTGTGATATATCACCAGCTAAACATTGCGTTTAAAAAAGCAGAGACATCACCTTGCCAACAAAGGTCCGTATAGTTCAAGCCATGGTTTTCCCAGTAGTGATGTATGGAAGTGAGAGCTGGACCATAAAGAAGGCTGATCGCCGAAGAATGGATGCTTTTGAATTCTGGTGCTGGAGGAGACTCTTGAGAGTCCCATGGACTGCAAGAAGATCAAACCTCTCCATTCTGAAGGAAATCAGCCCTGAGTGCTCACTGGAAGGACAGATCCTGAAGCTGAGGCTCCAAGACTTTGGCCACCTCAGGAGAAGAGAAGACTCCCTGGAAAAGACCCTGATGTTGGGAAAGATGGAGGGCACAAGGAGAAGGGGACGACAGAGGACGAGATGGTGGGACAGAGTTCTGGAAGCTACCACTGGCGTGCTCTGGTCCAGGGGTCACAAAGAGGCGGACACGACTAAACAACAACAACAGAACATTGCGATGTACTCATAGATCACGATGTCTTAAATAAGGATGGAGCTCTGTCGAGACATTGGCTGCCTTCACAGTTATTCCCACATCGCGATTTTTGCCTGCAGCTGCTCTTGTGATTCACTGCCCCGGCATGAGGCCTGAGAGAGCTGAGCCAGCAGAGCTAACAGGGACTTCAGGAATCGAGAGAAGCATTGGCTGGCTTCAAGGTTTCTCCCACATTGTGATTTTTGCATAGCACACACACACAAACACACATACACATAATGATTTGTGATATATTGCCAGGTGAAAAATAATGAAACTGATATGATACAGTGGTACCTTGGTTCTCATACTTGCTGGATGAGGCCAATGGCCCATCTAGTCTAGCATCCTGTGTCCACAATGGCCAAGCAGATGACTGTGGAAAACCCACAAGCAGGACTGGAGCACAAGAGCCCTTTATGTCGGCCCCCCCCCCCGTGGTTTCCAGCAACTGGTAGGCAGAGATGTTGCCGCTCCCATTTGTGGGATGTGAAACGCAAGAGCAGTCAACTACAACATTCCTAGAGTGAACATGTTTACACATGGGGAGGAATGTTTGTCCAGCCAGCAGGTCAACTTCCTGTTTCCTTCTGGGCTGGGACAGACTTCCTCTGCATGTGACTAGAGGTGGGCGTGGCCTCACCTGTGCAGGTAACGACAAAAGCACAGGGCAGGGCAGCCATCTCTCTCTCTTTCACCACATGCATCGAAGAAGCAACATCTGCTTAGCCAAAGATGCTCTCTTGGGACAAAGGGACTGTCTTCTTATGAGATAGTTTCCAGGTGAATGTTACTTTTCTAAGCTAAGTCTGCCTTCTGGGATCTGATTGTGAACAGAATATGAGTAAACTCTTTTTTTATACTTTTATAGAAGACTGTGTCGTGTCTCATCTTTTATGAGGGAATAAGGGGGAAATACCAGAACAGTTCTTATAGAGGCTTTAGCGAGCCTGAGCAAACGCATCCGCTGCAAAATTTAAAAGAGGGGAATGTTACTCTGCTAAATTGTAGAACTTGTTAACACAAGTTGGAAAGGCTATAATCAAACAATATATCCTCTCCTGAATCCCAGAACATTCCCACACCACTGCGAAGGCAGAGCAGAGCCCTCCTGGCTAGGAGCCCTCAATAGCCCTCTCCTCCTGCTCGAATTTGTTGAATCCTCTTTTGAAGCCACCCAAGTTGGTGGCCACCACTGGCTCCTGTGGCAGTGAGTTCCATAGTTTAACTCTGTGCTGCATGAAGAAGGACTTTTTTCCCTCTGCCCCGAATGCTACTGCCCTCAGGTCCCACTTGTGGGCAGGGCTGTCTTAAGCATATGCGGCACCGGGGTGCAAAGATCCGCCTGGCGTCCCCCCGTTGCCCAGTCCCAGGCGTGCAGGAGGGCGGAGCCGGATGGCCCCCTCAGCATCTCATTGGCTTGGTTGCCCCCGAACTCGCAACGCAGAGCTACCCGCAGCAGAAGAGCCTGCCATGGCACTCCGACAGATGGGTGGGCTCTTCCGCGGACTCAACTCTCAGGCCCTGGACTCTCAGCCTGGTGCCCCTGAGAGCCTGGCACCCAGGTGCCCCACACCCCTAGCGCCTGTGGGTAAGACGGCCCTGTTTGTGGGCTTCCCTTCAGCATCCGGCTGGCCACTATGAGAAAGGGGGTGATGGACTAGATGAGCCTTTGCCCTGCCAGTAATCCAGGAGGACTATGCCCTTACTTGTTCCTTGTAACAAGGACTCTTGTGCCTCGTTCTGTTATGGACTGCTTAACTTTTTTTTTTTTTATTATAAATGATATTTATTCCAAATTTAAAGTTACAAAAAAGAAAAAGAAAAACCATACAAAATACAAAGAAAACTTTAGCCATAACAAAGCAAAAGATAAACGAGTAAAAAGAACAGTAAGATAGAATAAAAAAGAAGACTTAACAAAAAATATAAAAATACATTAAGTTGAAATAAAACAAAAGCAGATTAAACCTTTACATAACCTTTTCCCTTTACTTATTTCCATGACCTCCTCTCACCTCCCAATTTTGTATTCTAGTTCAAATCGTGTTTCCAGCAAATCCCTCTAACCTTATTTTCATTTACGTATTTTAAAATTAAAATAATGTAATTAAACCTCCTCTATTTCATCAATTTCATCAACTCATCTTTGCTTATTCCATTATATCGTATCTACCGAAACGACCTAATATTCTTTTTCCAACCTCCTTCTAACATTCTTTTATATTACAATACTTTTGAAGATATATTTTGAATTTTTTCCAATCTTCTTCCATCGACCCTTCTCCCTGGTCTCGAATTCTGCCGGTCATCTCAGCCAGTTCCATGTAGTCCATCACTTTCATCTGCCATTCTTCTCGGGTGGGCAATTCTTGTGTCTTCCAGTACTTCCCGATAAGTATTCTTGCTGCTGTTTGAACTGCTTAACTCCCTTGTTCAGTTAACGGGAATTTTGTATGCTTCCTCCTTCATTTCTCAGACTCTAAAGCAATATATTTGACTGGATAGTGACCCCACCACCTCCACTTTAGGACCTTGCAGTGCACAGAGGGAGACTGTCAGGATGGGGCTCAGGCCACTTCTTCCAGGGTGGGGCCACCAGGATCTATTCAGCTGGAGGACGCAGCCCTTAAGACTCAAGAGGATGAGGCCCCTGACTCTCCTTCATCTTCTCAGCCTTGCAGAAGCCAAAGGCTGCAAAATCAGGCAAGAGTCCTCTCACAACCCAGAGGCGGCCACGTTGTGGGTCTTGTCAGCCTACGAAAGCCTTCAGTCAACTTTAGCTCCCTGCTGGGCAACCCCATCCTACAAATTCAAGGAAGGACAGTGGTACCTCAGGTTACAGACGCTTCAGGTTACAGACTCCACTAACCCAGAAATAGTCCCTCGGGTTAAGAAATTTGCTTCAGGATGAGAACAGAAATTGTGCTCCGGCGGAAGCAGGAGGCCCCATTAGCTAAAGTGGAACCTCAGGTTAAGAACAGGTTCAGGTTAAGAACGGACCTCCGGAATGAATTAAGTTCTTAACCTGAGGTACTAGTGTACTTCTTCATGCAGGGCATCCTTTATTTCTCATTTAAGTCACCAGTCTAGTTCCCCCCACCGGCCCCCTGCCTCCAAAGCGGGCAGAATTTGGGCTATTTTATGGAAAGGAGAGGATCAGCTGAACCTGTGGGGAATCTTCCTTGTTTGGAAGATCAGGACAGATAGAAGAAGCGACTTGTTCATTCAGCGCACGGTTATCCTATGGAACTCACTCCCAAGAGGCAGTGATAACCACCAACCTGGATGGCTTGAAAAGAGGATTAGACAAATGCGTGGATAAGTCTATGGCTGGCTATGAACCCTGGTGGCTGGGCTCTGACTCCACAGTCCGAGAAGGAAGGCGCTCTTAGGCCCTGAACGAATGGCACTGCCAGGTACAACTATGAATGCAGAAAATCTGAGGACAAAGCTCTAGGGAACAAAGCAAAAGACTTGCGGGGGGGGGGGTTCAGGTGTGGTTGAGGTTGTCAGTTTTTCCTGGAAAAGGTATAAAGGAGTGGGAGGGAGCAGTGGCATAGGAAGGGGGGTGCGGGCCGCCCCAGATGTCATCACTGAGGGGGGTGAAAAAATATGGCAAAAATATGTCTGTGGTTTTTTTTTTAAAAAATGGGCTCACAACACTTTTTTAAAAGAAAATAATAACTCCCGCACCCCCCCCTTCCTAAGCCAGTAGCTGAGGCGGGGGCACTGGACACCACACTGCGGGGCCCTCAGCGTGCCTGAGCCACGCGTCTCTCCTGAGGGGGAGGCGGCGGGTGGACAGCCTGCAAGTTCCGTGCTGCTTTTTTGAGCAGTGTGGGGCTTGCGTCTGCCCTCACCTGCCCTATAGCTGAGGGGGAGGCTGCGGAGAGGCTCCACGTAGCGCGTTCGCCCCGGCCCTGGCTGCAGGGTGCATGCGCTGTCCCGGGCACCCGAGCAGCTAGCTATGCCAGTGGGAGGGAGGGGAGAGGGAGAGAGAGACTTCAAGGTGAACAGACTCTTTGCTCCTAAGGGAGCCCTCCCCACTTAAGACAGCCAGGTGCAATAATCCATCAGTTATGAAGCAGCCAATTAACATGTCTTGCGAAGTGTGCAGCTTGCATGAAAGCCTCCTGCCCTCTCCTGAAACCCTGACATCCCTTTTAGGAACTTTTGCCTGCCTGAACAAACTCCAGCGTTTGACCACCTAATGATTGGCAAAGACAATAACGGAAAATCTCAAGCAATTTCACTGCGTCAAAAGGGGCACATTCATTAAAAAGCTGTTAAGCTAAATTGAATACTTTCAAAAGAAATGCATTAACAATACGCTAGTTTAAAAGTGTCTGAAACTAAGAAACTAGTTTAAACTACCAAGACAAGCCGTCGTGTCTGGAAATACACAGGATGTCCCGGCTTTGGGGCTGCTGTTGTGCTCACAGAGTGTAAAAGCACCACAGCCTAGGGCTGTGTACACATTTCTGCTTCTTCCAGCTCCTGTGTGCTTCCACGCCTGGCATTTGAGGTTAACCACAATCCATAGGTATCCCTGCAGCTTCCGGGGAAATACTCTTGTCTGGTGATGCCTTTTCCCTCAAACCTTCTGATAAGGAAACAGAAACTGTGGTTAAGATGAGTCGTGTGCATTTCAGGCAACTGTGAAGCATGCACTGAACTTCAGTGAACTGGAGTTTAATGTGAGGAAACTAATCATGGAATTGTAGGGTTGGAAGGGACCCCAAGGGTCATCCAGACTGACCCCCTGCAATGCAGAAATCACAGCTAAAGAGCCTCTAACGGGTGGCCGTCCAACCTCTGGCTAGAAACGTCCAGCAATGGTGAGCCCACCACCAGCAGGGAGTCTGGCCCACTGTCAAGCAGCTCCTACCCTCAGAAAGTTCTTCCTGATGTTTAGTCGCAATCTCCTTTCCTATCATTTGAATCCATTGGTTCGGGTCCTCCTCCTCGAGAGAAGAAGAAGAGTTTGGATTTGATATCCTGCCTTTCACTCCCCTTCAGGAGTCTCAAAGCGGCTAACATTCTCCTTTCCCTTCCTCCCCCCACAAACACTCTGTGAGGTGAGTGGGGCTGAGAGACTTCAAAGAAGTGTGACTGGCCCAAGGTCAGCCAGCAGCTGCATGTGGAGGAGCGGGGAATCGAACCCGGTTCCCCAGATTACGAGACTACCGCTCTTAACCACTACACCACACTGGCTCTCTTGCTCCTCCTTCCACGGGGGCAGCCCTTTCGATATCTGAAATCCCAACTCTACAATTCTATAATTCTTTGCCTGGTTTGCTTGGCGGTGGAGGAGAGCATGGCCGTCACACTATGTGGCAGACAGAAATTCTGCAAGGTGAGCCTTTTCTCTTGACAACTTGGCTGCCAGGCACCTTCTCATTTATGGGTGACACCCAGTTAATTTTGGGGCCCTCTACCGCCACCAGTAGTGATGTATGGAAGTGAGAGCTGGACCATCAAGAAGGCTGATCGCCAAAGAATTGATGCTTTTGAATTCTGGTGCTGGAGGAGACTCTGGAGAGTCCCACGGACTGCAAGAAGATCCAACCTCTCCATTCGGAAGGAAATCAGCCCTGAGTGCTCCCTGGAAGGACAGATCCTGAAGCTGAGGCTCCAAGACTTTGGCCACCTCATGAGAAGAGAAGACGCCCTGGAAAAGCCCCTGATGTTGGGAAAGATGGAGGGCACAAGGAAAAGGGGAGGACAGAGGACGAGATGGTGGGACAGTGTTTTGAAGCTACCAGCATGAGTTTGACCAAACTGCGGGAGGCAATGGAAGACAGGAGTGCCTGGTGCTCTGGTCCAGGGGGTCACGAAGAGGCGGACACAACTAAACGACTCAACAACAACCCCCACCAGCAAAAACTTGCGTATGGCACAAACTGTATGCAAATTTCACGCTCGTTTGCATCTTCCGCCGGTGCAGCAGAGGGTCCAATCCACCCTCAGTATGCTGAGCCCAGCGAATTCTGTTGCCCCCCCCCCATCCAAGAGACACCAGGAACAAGCCCACCTTGGCAGCGTCCGCACCCTCCCCGGAGTGGGTACCCTCTCTTGCAGCTCGGAAAGCCCGGCAGCGCCTCCTGGCTTCACGGCACCTCGCCCTCCCCCGACGGGCTGCTAAACCAAGCTCGCCCCGTCTATTTTTAGCGCCGCTGCACTTCTTATTCGTCATTTTTCTTTCTTTCATTTTGCTCAGCAAACACCTGAGTGGGGAGGGGGAGGTCTCTGAGGCAGGCAAGAAACCCCCTTCCCGCCCCATAGACACAGATGCCCGGACAGTGTGTCAAGGGAGCGAGCAGGATATGAAAGGGGGGAGCGCGGATCTCCTTCGCGGGGCGCTCGCCCAAAGGCTGGGCGCTTAACCCGGGCAAATCCCAGACGGCGCGGCAGGGAAGGAGGCAAAGGCCTCTGGGCTGGGCGCCAGGAGGCGGGCGGCACCTTCGTGTCGCTTGTGGGGGCGACCCAGCCCTCCTGCGCCGTCGGAAGGAGGAGCGCTTTGGTGGGCTCGGGTCCTCCAGGGAGAAGGGCTGGAGTTGGGTTGGCGTCGGAGTTACCTGGGTCCAGGCAGTGGGGCGCGCGTGCCACCCCCCACCCCCAGTCTAGAGACCTGGGGAGGCCCAGGGCCCTTCCCACCCGGCCCCCAGGGCGCGAGCAAAGGAGGGAGGGGGCGCCTTTCGACGGGCCCCGGGGCCCTTTACCGCTGCTGCTGCTGGGCTCCTGCCGTGGCCCGCGGGCCGGACGGGCTCCTCGCGCGGCCGTCGCCGCTCTCCCGGACCGAAGCGGCGGCTTGCTATTTTTAGCCCCTCCGTGTTTCCAGGGGAAACCTAATGACGCAATGACGTCAATGCAGGTCAGCGGCTGACTGGATGGAGGAGCCGCGCCGCCGCCTGCCTGCCTCCCCTCCGCTTCTGGGGGGCTCCATCTTCTCCGAGGGGCGCCCAGGAAAGGCGGCCAGTGCGAGGTGCAAGACTTTGCATTGGAGGGGGGGGGAGGCGTTGGAGCCCCCGCCCCGCCCGACCCCGCCAAGTGGAAGGAGCTTGCCATGGGGCGCTTTCTTGATGCAGAGGGGGTGGTGATGGAGGAGGAGGAGAGACGTGACTCCGGAGGGCCGTGGCGGCGGCTGGACCCGCGGAAGGACCCCCTCCCCGCGACCCCCAGGTAGGTGCCTCGCCCCGCGGGGGCTCCTGGGGCCACCCGGGGCTGAGCTTCGGCAGGAGCTGGGGGTGGGCTAGGATGGCTGGACTGCCGGCCCCTCCGCCGCTCCGCCCCTCCCCATTCCTCTGATCCCGCCGGGATCCTTTGCTTGCGAGTTTGAGCAGGTGAGGTGCGGGGAGTGCCGAGGGAGGGGGCGTTGAGCTCCGGGGGTGGGGTAGGATGGCGGGCACGCTCTCACCCCGGGAGATCCGGAAACGCAAGCGCCGTCGAGCAGAGACTGCCGCCTGGCAGCGCCCGCTTCCCTCACGGGGAAGAGTCGCAGTTCCGTGGCTTTGCACGCGGAAGGTTCTTCCAGGTTCAACCCGCGACGATATCTTCGAGGTGGGCTGGGAGAAACTCCGACGAGAAAGCCTGGAGAGCTGCCAGTCAGTGTAGGCACTACTGAATCGGATAGACTAAAGGTCTGAGTCTGTAGAAGGCAGTTTCCGGGGCTGGTGCGCCCGCCGCTCCGGCTGTCCGACCTCAGCCCGGCGGGCTTTGCAGGTAGCCCGGCGCGGTCTCCCCTCCGACGCCGCATCCTCTCCAACGGCAGCGGGGCCCTCGAAGTCCGCCCCAGCCCCTCACCCCAGCTCCCCCGCTCCGCTGACTCCTTCGGTGGTCTCCGCCTTTGGAGCCGGGGGAGGGCGCTTCTCTCCCTATGGGGTGAGTGTGGGTCGCGCCCCTCAGAAATGGCCCCTGGGCGCTCTCCAGCACGCACGCTGCATGGAGCCCAACCTGCGCCTTGCGATGTCTCCAGGGGGCTGCGACCCTCTCCTGGCGGGCCTCGGGGAAGCTGGAGCAAGAAGGACAAGGCGCTGGCCTCCTTGAGTGGCGCCCCCCCCCCCGCTCCGCCGCCGCCCCCGAGAGTGCCTGAGCCCGGCAGCCTTCCCTCGGCCGGTTTCAGCACCACCGGCGCCGGCGCTCGGGCCTGGCCGGATGAAGGCGCTGAGCCCCCTTCTTGGCTCCTGTTGGGCAGCGATGCCCCGAGGCCAGCCGTGGGTGCCAGCCTTTCTGCAGGGGCCTCTGCCTTGGTCACACAGAGAGCCCATTCCCCAGTGGGCTGGAGGGCCAACAGGGCTAATGGAAGCCCATTAAGCTTCCATGCAGGAGGACAGACCTCATAGCAGTGCTATTAAACTTTGCGCCACAACTGGCCGGCTGGGTGGGTGGCCAACGTGGGCATTGAGGTGCCCACTGCAAGGAATGTCACCTTCGGGGTCATCTCGGGATGCGGTACACTGGTGCCCGTCTGCGGCTGGCATGGTGCATGATGACTGCCAAGAAGAGCGAGGCTGGTTCCGGCTTGGGTTTGGTGCGACGCTGGGTCATGAGGCTCTGCAATATGATGGCGCCAGAGAGGGCACTCCTCCTCCTCCTCCTCCTCCTCTCTGTTTGGGTTCTGAAAGGCTGCCTTTGCCAGGTTTTGTGAACAAGGGAGGATGGGCTGCGCCAAGGATGGAGGAACTGACTGGAGAAATGCGGGGGGCTGGCACCTTGAGGTGTCTTGTGGCCCACACAGTGAGGGCCACACTGAAAATGTCACAGCCCCATGGCATACCAAAGGCTGATTCACCTAGGGCTGTTCCTGGCAAGCAGTGATTTGCTTAGCTGGGAGCAGCAGAGCGGCCCCAGGAATAGAGAAGGGTCTGCAGAACAACAAGTGAGCAGCAGAAGGTAGCCTCAAGGAGCCCTGCTAAGAAACACTTCTTTAAAACAAAGCACCCTTATGGAAGGGGGAACTTCTTAGCCGCAGCAGTCTGGAAAGGAGGCTGGGAGTGTCTGTGGGCTTCACAGTTCCTTTGGCTCACTCTGGAGCTCCAGAACTTGCCTTAGGAGCATGGAATGACCACAGCTGTCAAATCACCAGCAAGCCATTGCCAGCGTCTGAGACCCGGCTCATCTGCAGCTGCAGGCTGCAAAGGTTTGCTGGTGTCTTCTCGGGAAATCTTGCAGATTCATCCAGTCATGGAGAGACCAAACAGGTTGCAAGTTATGGGCTTGTCTTTCACAGTCAAGGCAGGCGGCTTGCTTCCTAGCCGTGCCTCCCCATCGCTGCGCACTTAGTCCAGCACCCAAACCTTTTGCTCCTTGCTGTAGATTTAAACACTAGTAGGCAGGTTTGGAAGGGAATGTGGGTGGCGCTGTGGTCTAAACCACTGAGCCTCTTGGGCTTGCCAATCAGAAGGTCAGCGGTTTGAATCCCCGCGATGGGGTGAGCTCCCGTTGCTCAGTCCCTGCTCCTGCCAACCTAGCAGTTGGAAAGCACGTCAAGTGCAAGTAGATAAACAGGTACCGCTCCAGTGGGACGGTAAATGCCGTTTCCATGCGCTGCTCTGGTTCGCCAGAAGCGGTTTAGTCATGCTAGCCACATGACCCAGAAGCTGTCTGCAGACAAATGCCGGCTCCCTTGGCCTATAGAGCGAGATGAGAGCTGCAACCTCAGTCTGGACTTAACCCCAGACAGGTCTTAACGGTCAGGGGTCCCTTTACCTTTACCTTTAGGCAGGCCTGGAGGTGCAAATATGGCTTTGTTGCAAAAAAATAAAAATAAAAATGGGTTCATTGCCCTTGGAGCTGTGGATTTCCAGAATGGAGATACGAAGAGATTTAAATGCCAGTACTGGGCAGGCTTTTTGTTTTTGTCTGTCTCTCCTTTGGTGGTCCCATCTGTGGCTTCGTGTGTTTCCTGATTGTCTGTGTGACGCTAACCCTAGCGATACATCATGGCCATTGCCAGTCTCTGCAAGGCTCGCCCGCCTGTGCCAGGCAGTGAACCTTACGCAGCCTGCCGCTGGGGTTGCTGTTGTGACACGCAGCGCTTCTTCGGTTCAGTGGATGTGTAGTGAGCTGAGCAGCCACCAGGGCAGGGCTGAGGGGTGGGCTCTTGCCCCACTCCCATCATTTGTCTGGCCACTGATTCGTGCTCCAACAGGGCCTCACAGCTTCCTTGGAGCTTGAAGGCCCCTGCAGATTCCCAGCCTGACGGAAGGTCACTCAACTCAACGCTTCTTAAATCGCAATTCGTCATCATGGTTTCATCAGCCTTGTTTCCCATTTCTGTGAGTATCCCACGGGCATCTGTCAAAGTCCCATCCCCAACCTGGCGCCCTCCAGCCCCAGCAAATAAGGTCATGCCTTCTGGCGAATTTTAGTCCAGAACATCTGGAGAGCACAAGGTTAGTGAAGCCTGTGATACAGAGTCCAAAACATTATGAGGAGATCATTCAAGAGATCCCTGGTGTGATGCTGCTGTTTGCTTGCAAGTAGACAGTTTGTTCAGCAAGCAGAGACAGCTAAGAACCATTGCTTGGCTGCAGAAGAGCCTCAGTTCTCCCACTTCAGTCAAAAACAGCAACCAGAAAATAATATTGCATTTGAATTCCCCCTTCTCTCCACCTCACTCCCAGCCAGCTCCACGACTTGTTTTTCATCTGATGACTGTACTGTGACCCCCAAGTGTTTTGCCATGAGCATGTGGGGTGTGCCCTAGCTCAGATGCCACTAGTGGCTATTGAAGAAATTATTATTATTATTATTATTATCATTTGTTAAATTTATATACTGCCTTTCATCAAAAGTCCACAGGGAAGTTAACAATGATGAACACAAATGTCAGTACAGTGGTACCTCGGGTTACAGACTCTTCAGGTTACAGACGCTTCAGGTTACAGACGCTTCAGGTTACAGACTCCGCTAACCCAGAAATAGTACCTTTTGTTAACAACTTTGCTTCAGGATGAGAACAGAAATCGCATGGCGGCAGCAGGAGGCCCCATTAGCTAAAGTGGTGCTTCAGGTTAAGAACAGTTTCAGGTTAAGAACAGACCTCCGGAACGAATTAAGTACTTAACCTGAGGTACCACTGTAAATTAAATAAATTTATTATTTCAGTCACAGACCAGTTCCATCTCACATACAATATCAGGGAAGTCATAAAACATGATAGGGATACATTTGAGTTTGCACTTGGGTATAACAGGGACAATACAGATATAACAGCAGTTAAAATTATTAAGTTAAATCTTAATCACCAAAATATATCCCAAAATTGTCATTTAAGGCCTTAGTCATTATGGTAGCACAGCTTGCAAATGTCAGTATATGACACAATATCTTGGCAATGTGAAAATCAAACAGTCATGCAACTAAATAATAATAATAATAGTATTAATGTGTAATACGATACAGAGTCTTATAACAACAGAAGCATAAAAATAAAGGGAGAAGAAAATTAGCTACAGGGTAACCAGAATACAAAAAACACTCACACATGCAGAACTTTCTCTCTGTCCAAAAGCAGCCTTTTAATCCAGCCCTCTAAGCCATGGGTAGGCAAACTAAGCCCCGGGGGGCTGGATCCGGCCCAGTCGCCTTCTAAATCCGGTCCGCAGACGGTCCGGGAATCAGCGTGTTCTTACATCAGTAGAATGTGTGCTTTTATTTAAAATGCATCTCTGGGTTATTTTGGGGGGATAGGAATTTGTTCATTTCTTCAAAATTTGTTCACTACTTCAAAATATAGTCTGGCCCCCACAAGGTCTGAGGGACAGTGGACCGGCCCTCTGCTGAAAAAGTTTGCTGACCCCTGAGCTTTGCTCTCCTCTCCTGGTCTCTCACACTGGAATATCTTCCCTGCCTCTACGGTAATTCAGGGTCCTTTCCACTGCCACTTTCATGTGGGTGCAGTCCAGGGGTGGTGGGGTGGGGTTGCCTTCATGAGCCCCTTCAGATAATTATCAGGACACCCCCTGGACAGGAGGGCTCATTAGCAAGCAGACATCAAAGAAAAGAGAGCCATACCTTCAGCTGGTAATCATGATCACATTTCCCATTACATGGTGAAACGATTCTACAGCATTTCATTGTATTTAAAGTTCTAGGCAATATTTACTGCATTTGTACCTGCAGGAGTGAAGGGCTAAATTAACAGTTTCCCCAACTGCGTCTCAATCAAGACAAGAAACAACTTCCCCATTCCCACCCCCCTGAGCTGGAGGCACCGCCTGCAAACAAGGCCAGTGATGGACTGAGTTTCTAGATCCATTTCCATCTGGATTCAGGCCTTTCCTCCGTACTGAGACTGCCTTAGTCACCTTGATGGATGACCTAAGCCAAAAGGAATTAGTCCCTGCCAATTCTCCTGGATCTCTCAGCCATGGCAGCTTTCGGATAACATTGGCCACAGAAACTCTCTGGAGAGATGGAGGGTTGGTGTAACCAAATGGCAGGACAGATGAAAGGAAGTACTTCTTAGTGCTACACCTAGTTAAATTAAGGGACGTTGTGGTGAACACCAACATGGATGGCGCTGGAAGAATTTTTGCTAGGTTTGGTGGGCGAAGGGATTAAAAAGATAGATCAAAGAGACTTCTGGGGTGGCGCCATCGGCAATGGCGGAATCCCTCTGAACAGGAGGGACTAGCTCCGCGGGAAATGGGTCTTCTCCGCTACAGCGAAGTGGGGACCCTCTTAAAAATCACAGGCGGATGAAGCCTGTGACCATGGGACTCGGCGGGCGCCTTTAGCGCCCTCCCAACTCGCTAAGGAACCCACTAACGGGCTCCGAAGTGAAGAGGGGGAAGTGGCGCGGTGCTGTGAGTCAACTGCTATTTCCGTGGAGCGAAGCCGCATAGCCGTTGCCGGAGAGCGCTGCCTTTTTCCTGGGACAATTTGGACTCTAAAATAAGCACCCGTGAGTACTCAGACTTTGAATAACTGGACATCAAATAAGGACTTGCGAGCAGAAAGGAATTGGATTTTAAAAACCTATTTTAATTTGGTACGGAACGGGAAGGTCTAAACAGGAAGTCAGCCTTCCGTTCTTTTGTAGACAGAATAAAGCAAAGACAATGTAAACTAGAGCTTAGAAAATCGCCTTTAAAGGATTGGATTTCATCATTTAAAATTGTGGAACCCCCCTTCGACAGCAGGAGAAGGAGGGGGATTTTTTTCGGACTGTTTAAAGTGAGTTTAAAGTAAAGTAACCTTCCTCCGTCCTGATCCTGGAGCGGGGTGTCAGGACTGACGTTTGAAGTTCATTGACCAGAGACAAGCGTTTTTGACAGATAGCTAAAAGAAGAGAAACATAGCGATTCCACTGCTTCCCTTCGCATCTTTAAGCAACAAATATTGACAAAGTATCTCAAAAAGGGAAACTTTGTTGCAAGAACAACTAGAAGTTTTCCCCCTAGAGGGAGACTGTGAAACTGTAACCAACTCCAGGGAGCCGGCAGCTGTTACAGATTACAATCGTGGGAACAGGCATCTGACCTTGCAGGACAATGTATTCAGAAGCTTTGTTGTGTGCTTTCTATAAAACAAATGCCGTACTGGAACAGTTACATGAGAAGGTGAATTGGATGGCGACTTCGACTAGAAACTTTGAACAGGCAGTGGTAAATTTTGAACAGACAGTGGGAAAATATGTGGAGCCCACTCAGGAATTAAATCAGGAGTGTGTCCTGACAGAACAGGCCCAACAGGAATATGAGTTTTCGGATTTGACAAATGAACCTGGAAAAAGCCAGATTTGGAAAGAAAAGGTTTGGTTTGGCTTGGAAATGGGGGGCTGGATTGACCCCCCTATGCTGGGATGTTTGGACTTTTCAAATCTGGCAATGGGCCGTGAGATGTTTGGGATTGTGGGGGCTCTTAATTTTAATTTTGGGGGGTCTTTGAAACATGCTTTTAAATACCATATGGAATTCAGTGTTGAATATGGAAAAGGGGCTGATCTGTCGAGAAGGGTTAAAAATATTGTCAAGCTGGAGTTACCACGAGCAGGAGACAAGGGAAAATACAGTTACAAATATGAAGAAGAGCTGCGGAAGGGACATGGAAGAGACTTGAGGGCCTCGGATATAAGGCTGCCAGGTTAATGGGCTAGATCGACGGGATAATAAGGACTGACAAAACCCGGAACCAGGAGGAAAGGACGTTGGATGAAGATTGGATCTGTTTGTATCTCTTTTTTCTACCATTAGAACTGTTTTATAAAATTGATGAATGTCAGAAAAATGTTGGAATGAAATTACTTGGCTTTAGTAAAGATGTTTAAAGAATTATGAAAGAATATTTTGGTTATGAGAAATGGGTAAGGATAAGATTTAAGTTTTAAGTTTTAAGGTTTATTTTATTATAGTAAGATAAGATTAAAACAGTTTAGGGTAATGTAATGACAGAATATTATGAAATATGGAAAGGATTTGCTGGGATAATTAATAACTAGGATACAAAGAAAGGGAGGAGGAGGAGGTCAAAGAAAGAAGGTAATGACAGTTGAGGATTTGAGAATAATGAATTTGTTATTAAATGTTTTTAATTGTTTGTGATGTATTTTTGTATTTTTTCTTTTGTCACTTTTTCTTATTTTTGAATTTGTATTCATATGGTTGGAAGGGGTTTGTTTTTTCCCCCTTCTTTTTCTACTTTGTTAACTATTTTTATTTTGTACTTTCTACTGCTTTTATTTTATTTTGTAATACTTTGAAAATTTCAATAAATATCTTATAAAAAAATAAAAAATAAAAAGATAGATCAAAGATTATATTTATATGCAACAACTGCAGCCAGAGTTGTGATAGCTCTAAAGTGGAAGCAACAGGAGATGCCGACGATAAGAGAATGGCAGATAAAGTTGGTTGAGTATGCTGAGATGGCTAAATTGACACACAGAATTCGCAATCAGAAGGAGACAAAGTACCAAAAAGAATGGAGTGAATTTATGGTTTATATAAGTGAGAACTGTACAAATATGAAAACGTTGGCAGGATTGAAATACCTCTCATGTCATGGCATAATTTATAATTAAAGAATCTGTAAACTATAGAATGGAATAGGAAAACTGCTGGAAGGGAAGGACGGAAGCTAATGGATCTATGAAACACAAAGTAGGATACATGTAACAAGATGTGATGTTTTGGTGGTGGTTGGTGGAGGTTGGTTGGTGATTGTAAATTCAATAAAAATCATTTTTTTTAAAAAAAGGAACACCAACATGGATGGCTTTAAGAGAGGGCTAGACAAGTTCATGGAGGACTATCGATGGCTGTGCTGCGCCAGATGTTGGAACCCACAAGAGGGGAGAGGTCTCTTGTGCTCAGGTTCTGCTTGCAGGTTTTCTGTAATGGGCACCTGGTTGGTCACTGAGAGAAGAACAGGATGCTGGAATAGAATCATAGAATCATAGAATCATAGAGTTGGAAGAGACCACAAGGGCCATCGAGTCCAACCCCCTGCCAAGCAGGAAACACCATCAGAGCACTCCTGACATATGGTTGTCAAGCCTCTGCTTAAAGACCTCCAAAGAAGGAGACTCCACCACACTCCTTGGCAGCAAATTCCACTGTCAAACAGCTCTTACTGTCAGGAAGTTCTTCCTAATGTTTAGGTGGAATCTTCTTTCTTGTAGTTTGGATCCATTGCTCCGTGTCCGCTTCTCTGGAGCAGCAGAAAACAACCTTTCTCCCTCCTCTATGTGACATCCTTTTATATATTTGAACATGGCTATCATATCACCCCTCAATAGGTGGGCCATTGGCCGGATCCAGCAGGATCTTATTGTATTCTTATGACATCTCATTCCAAGAAGTGAAGTTACAGGAAACCAGACACGAGGGCCTTCTTGGTAGTGGTGCCTGCCCTGTGGAACGCCCTCCCATCAGATGTCAAGGAAATAAGCAGCTATCTTCTCTTTAAAAGACATCTGAAGGCAGCCCTGCTTAGGGAAGTTTTTAATATTTAATGCTGTATTGTTAATAATAATAATAATAATAATAATAATAATAATAATAATAATTTTTTTATTTATATCCCACCCTCCCCAGCTGAAGCCGGGCTCAGAGTGGCTAACAACAATAAAAGTAACACAATATTCTAAAATCAATTCATTTTAAAATCAGTTCAAAATCAAATTAATGGCAACCATTGGGCTAGAGTTCTGTGAGGATTACCAAAGGAGGGGGTCAGACTGTGCCTTGGCCAAAGGCCTGGTGGAACAGCTCCGCCTTGCAGGCCCTGCGGAAAGATGTCAAGTCCCACAGGGCCCTAGTCTCTTGTGACAGAGCGTTCCACCAGATTGGGGCCACGGCCAAAAAAGCCCTGGCTCTGGTTGAGACCAGCCTAAGCTCCCTGTGGCCCGGGATCTCCAAGATTCGAAGACCATAAGGTCCTCCATTGGACATACCAGGAGAGGCAGTCCCATAGGCGACACTTGTTTGGGAGCCGCCCAGTATCTCAGCATTTTCCAAAACCATTGACTGTGGCATTATTCTGGAAAGGTTATTCGCAGGTAGAAATTGGAGGCAAGGTGTTGTGGTGGTCCTGTTCCTCTTTGGACAGCCGACTCCCAAAGGTGGTTCTGAGCCAAACAAAAGTTTGAATCCTTGGCACTTATGCCTCCAGTGATTCCTCAAACCTCCAATATTAGGGGCCTTGAAGCTCAAGCTTCCTTGGTTTCATAGCAGATCCATCCCTAGGTAGACCCTCTCCTCCTCCATGGATTTCTCTAATCTTCTTTTAAAGGTATCCAAGTTGATGGCCATCACTTCCTCTTGAGGGATATAGAGGTCCATCGCTTGGCTATGTGCTGCGTGGAAAAGGACTTATGTGTGTTAAAACCACAAACTTTCTTGCGTCATCTTAATGAAATTGTTGTGGACTAAAGCTCCTTTAGGGATGCGGATGGTGCTGTGGGTTAAACCACAGAGCCTAGGACTTGCTGATCAGAAGGTTGGCGGTTCGAATCCCCGCAATCCTCCTGCCAACCTAACAGTTCGAAAGCACGTTAAGTGCAAGTAGATAAATAGGTACTACTACGGAGGGAAGGTAAACTGTGTTTCCATGCGCTGCTCTGGTTCGCCAGAAGCGGCTTAGTCATGCTGGCCACATGACACGGAAGCTGTACGCTGGCTCCCTCGGCCAGTAAAGCGAGATGAGCTCCGCAACCCCAGAGTCGGCCACGACTGGACCTAATGGTCAGGGGTCCCTTTACCTTTTAAAGCTCATTTAATCAGATCAACAGAATGTCAGAACAAAACTGGAGCTCCGCAGGTGAGCCAGGTCAGTGGCCGACCTAGTCCAGCATCCTGTTCTCACAGTGGCTGACCGGATGTCTCCAAAGGGAAACCAGCAGGCAGGATCCGACCACAAGAGCAACTCTCCCCTCCTGCGGGTTCCATCAGCTGGGATCCAGGAGCCATGAAGTGCTTTCCTCAGCTGACAGCAATATCTATATCTATATTAGGGTGTGCGGGGAGAGAAATGTAAATAGTGGAGTCAAATGGCCATGAAATTCAAAAAGTACAGACTGTGAAAATTCAATTAAAGCTCAAATATATGCACGATAAGCACAGCGACTAGCAATGGGGGAACCGATTTTGTCATAATTTCCAATTTGCTTGCCGAGCTGCAAATGCAACATTATCAATTGAGTCGAAAAGTTCTGATCTTGCAAGATCTTAAAGTTTCTCTGAATTTAAAATTGCAGTAATATGAGATGGTCCAAGGAGTTTCCAGCACCATTTTCTTCTTTATTTGCTTCCTTAAAGGCAAAAGCTTAACATAATGTTACACACAATCCCAATCTCCAAGCGCTGTGAGATTCCAGGGGCTGCAGGCACTTACCCGGGGTTCGTGTTTCCTTTGCAAATGAAGCACAGCAGAGATTTGGGCGTCTTTATGATATACGGCTTATTCACACATATATACACAACCTGAGTCTACGATGGAGGGGCATTGACACCCTGGGAGGTTCTTGCTTCTCCTAGTGCCACAGCAGCCTTGCATTCAAAAAGAAACCAGCCGTGGCCTGGCCTCTCTGTAGCTGGCCGCATTTTACAGACTGCAACTATTTTTCTCCCGCCCACATCATCCTCAGCTGCAATCCTAAACTCTCCAATCTGCTTTGTCTCTGCTCACTATCTCAGAGCTCAGGGAGGGGCTCCACCCATTTTCCAGCCGGCACAGAATCTTTACCAGGCAGAGGGCCTTCTCGGTAGTGGCGCCTGCCCTGTGGAACGCCCTCCCAGCAAATGTCAAGGCAATAAACAACTATTTTACTTTTAAAAGACAACTGAAGGCAGCCCTCTTTAGGGAAGTTTTTAATGTCTAATGCTGTATTGTTTTTAATATTCAGTTGGAAGCCGCCCAGAGTGGCTGGGGAAACCCAGCCAGATGGGCGGGGTATAAATAATAAATTATTATTATTATTATTATTATTATTATTATTATTATTAACTTTGCTGATGATTTCCCTGCCTGTCCTCTGTTAATGGCCCATTTTGTGGGAATGTTCAGGGTGGCAGGAGAGGATATATTGTTTATTAATAGCTTTCCAAACAAGGGACGCGGGTGGCACTGTGGGTTAAACCACAGAGCCTAGGACTTGCCGATCAGAAGGTCGGCGGTTCAAATCCACGCGACGGGGTGAGCTCCCGTTGCTCGGTCCCTGCTCCTGCCAACCTAGCAATTCGAAAGCACGTCAAAGTGCAAGTAGATAAATAGGTACCGCTCCGGCGGGAAGGTGAACGGCGTTTCCGTGCGCTGCTCTGGTTCGCCAGAAGCGGCTCAGTCATGCTGGCCACATGACCCGGAAGCTGTATGCCAGCTCCCTCAGCCAGTAAAGCGAGATGAGTGCCGCAACCCCAAAGTCGGCCACGACTGGACCTGACGGTCAGGGGTCTCTTTACCTTTAAGATAGTCTCTATGGGAGTATATTGTATTTAATTACAGTGGTACCTCAGGTTACATATGCTTCAGGTTACATACGCTTCAGGTTACAGACTCCGCTAACCCAGAAATAGTGCTTCAGGTTAAGAACTTTGCTTCAGTATGAGAATAGAAATTGTGCTCCGGCGGCGCAGCAGCAGCGGGAGGCCCCATTAGCTAAAGTGGTGCTTCAGGTTAAGAACAGTTTCAGGTTAAGAACGGACCTCCAGAACGAATTAAGTACTTAACCTGAGGTACCACTGTATGGGGTATCAGAGTCTTTAGGGGGTTAATTAGGCTGGGATAGCTGGGATAGCAGGCTCGTTGGTTTTTGAATGTCTGATGTAGTTTTTTGCAATTTCGTTCTGTATGGAACAATGACAATAAAGATTCGTATCGTATCGTATCGTATTGCTGTCCGAAAGTTCTTCCTGATGTTTAGGCACAATCTCCTTTCTCGCAATTTTTTTTTTTTTAATAATATTTATTAAAGTTTCAAAAGAAGAAAAATCACATTAATAAAAAGATTAACAATAAAAAGGAAAAATACAAAGTAGAAAAAAGAAAAAGAAAAAAAAACCAGTTAAAAACAATTCCATCTTTTCATCACTTCTTTTACGTTTACTTGTTTCCCAGACCTCCTCATACCTCCCTCTTTTGTATTCCAATTCAATTTGTTAATCCAGCAATTCCTTTCCCTCCTTTGTAATCCTAATCTTTAATCTTGATATATTATAACATTAAATTTTTACATATTAAAAACCAATTTTTCCATATTCTTTTGTACCTGTACAGCTAGAAACCACTTAACTTCAATCTGACATCATTCTAACATTCATTAATTTTGCAATATTTCTGTAAATAGTCTTTAAATTTCTTCCAATCTTCTTCCGCTGACTCTTCTCCCTGGTCACGGATTCTGCCAGTCATTTCCGCCAATTCCATATAGTCCATCAATTTGAATCCTTTCTCGCAATTTGAATCCATTGGTTCAGGTCTTTTGCTCTGTCCCAAACCTCTTGCTGGCAGCGTCATTGCGTGAAACCAATTTCTCTTGTGTTGTGCATGAAAGGTAGAGTCTTTTCTGTCGACTCTCTGAGCCCCATTAACAATGTTGTGCTCCCCTGTGCCTTTGACCGTGGGTCATTGCTGCCACAGGAGGAAATGGGATTCATGGTTGAGAGTCACACAGAACCCTAGAACTGGAGAGTTGGAGAGGATCCCAAGGAATCCCTTGCAATGCAGGAATCCCTTGGCGTGGTACGCTTCAGCCTGGCTCTGGTGCAGACAAGCCCCTGATAAACATTTAAATCTTTCTCTCTGCAAAATGAAAGAGAGAGAGAGAGAGAACTTCACTTTGGGTGTTTCTGTTTGTTTAATGAAGTAGGAATTGAACTTTGATTACTTTGTTGCTAACACCACTCATTACTGCTTTGCTAAGTGGGAGGATCAATAGCAAAACAGGGAGTTTTTTTAATAAAAAAGAGAGAAAACAACAACAAAGTAAGAAAATATCAAACAACTGGAGCCCAAAGCAATCAATTCATACATTAATTAGTGTGAAAATGATTAGGAAATGTCTGAGCAAAAGACAAACTAAATGCATCCCACTGGATTTCATTTATGAAATTTATGAAACTCACCAGTCATAGCTAATTTTTTTTTTAATTTCAGTGGACAGTTGCAAAACTTGCAAACCGTGCTGCATATTAAGATTGCTTCAAATACTAATTAAAGCCTTAATTAATAGTTTAGTGGAGCTCAAAACAAAACGCTGTTTGATTTGGGAGATGGAATCCAGGCATTGTAACAAACATGGGGAATGACAGGCTGAAAGTATCACCACCGCCATTAATTTACGAATCACCTTCTACACAATTGTGGACTGTTTAAAAAGCAAAGAAAAAAACTGCTTAAAACCACACAAAAAACCCCCAGCAGATGCGTTTAATGCAACGCAGTAGGAAAAGCAAGGCTCCTCAAAAAGGCCCATTTATCCAGCTGGGGGAGCCTGCCTGAACAAAACATCTTCAATCATTTCTGAAAAGTGCAGATAGTATCTTGACAGGAATGCTATTCCACAGAACAGGAGCTGCCACCCTAAAAGGCACAGAGGGCTTCTGGGATTTTAGAAACTTGCAGGAGAAACTTTCCTGCAGATCACATGACTTATAAGGTGGTGTCTCAAGTAACCTGAGCTTATGTTGTTGTTGTTTAGTCGTTTAGTCGTGTCTGACTCTTCCTGACACCCTTGACCAGAGCACGCCAGGCACTCCTGTCTTCCACTGCCTCCTGCAGTTTGGTCAGACTCATGTTTGTAGCTTCGAGAACACTGTCCAACCATCTTGTCCTCTGTCGTCCCCTCCTCCTTGTGCCCTCCATCTTCCCCAACATCAGGGTCTTCCCAACCTGAGCTTATAGAGACATTTAAAAGAGGATTAGACCAGGCATAGGCAAACTCTGCCCTCCAGATGTTTTGAGACTACAATTCCCATTATCCCTCACCACTGGTCTTGTTAGCTAGGGGTGATGGGAGTTGTAGTCCCAAAACATCTGGATGAACCCCAGGAAGGGGGACTTGCTGTTTGTTGGATGTGATCCATGAGAGGCAGTCAAGTACAACTTTCCTTGTAATGCTAGAGAAGACATGAGAGGGAATGTTGGTCCAGCCAGTCGAAACTTCCTGTTCCTCCTGGCTGGAGCATCCTTCCTTTTGCATGTGATGGAAGGTGGGCGTGACCTTACCTGTCCAGGTAACAAAAGGACGAGTCACGCAGCACCCTTCCCTCTTTTTGACTCCCTTCTTCGTTGGACCAGCTTTTAGCTAGGACTGCTCTGCTACCTTCTCAGCTAGCAGAAGCACTGGGATTATTCCTCCACATGGGGTAGATTCACATGTACATATTTGTAACTAAGTCTACCTTCAGGAATCCAACTCTGAACTGGTGTGAGTAAACTTCTTTCATCATCTTTGAATAAGATTGTGGCGTCTTTATTCTTTTAAGAGGGATTCAAGGGAACTTACCAGGAACGTACAATTCACAGAATCATAGAATCATAGAGTTGGAAGAGACCACAAGGGCCATCGAGTCCAACCCCCTGCCAAGCAGGAAACACCATCAGAGCACTCCTGACATATGGTTGTCAAGCCTCTGCTTAAAGACCTCCAAAGAAGGAGACTCCACCACACTCCTTGGCAGCAAATTCCACTGTCGAACAGCTCTTACTGTCAGGAAGTTCTTCCTAATGTTTAGGTGGAATCTTCTTTCTTGTAGCTTGGATCCATTGCTCCGTGTCCGCTTCTCTGGAGCAGCAGAAAACAACCTTTCTCCCTCCTCTATGTGACATCCTTTTATATATTTGAACATGGCTATCATATCACCCCTTAACCTGAGGTTAGACTGAATTGTATAATAGTGAGAGGCTCACACGAGCCTGCAACCAGCTATCTGCTGTGCATGTAAAAAGGGGAATATAACTCTGCTAAGTAAAGGAACTTGCTAGCACAAGTTAGGAAGGATATTAATAAACAATACATCCTCTCCTGCCACCCTGAACATTCCCACACTGTTGTGCCCGGATCCTGCTTGCAAGTTTGCCACTGGGACACCTGGCTGACCACTGTGATGGTAGCAGCTTTGCAGCCCATTCCAGCCCCTTAACCAGGTGCTGTCTGCTGCTGATGGTTATGCAAGATGCCCTCTTCGGTCTCTCATGAGACCTTTGGTGAGGGAGGGCAGGGGCACACGCCAATCCAGTGGAATTAATATCATACCTCAACTGCTGGGTTGGGAGAGCTTGTGCAAGTTTGAATCCCAGGGAATAATAGCAGAACCAGTTCGTAAAGGTTGCAAAGAGATTTTTGTTTTAGTTTTGGCTTGCAGAAATTGACACAGTTCTGAAATGGATCTTGCATGCTTGCTTGCTTCTCACCTGCTCAACCTGCACAAGGGAAAACAAAAAATAATGGCATACAGGCCAGGTGAAAACATTCCTCTTCGAACAGGCCTTTGGCTTATTAACACTCAACGGCCTTTTAAATGTGTTTGGGGTCTGTTATTGGTTTGTTTTTGTTATATGATGATGTGAACCACCCTGTGGTCTTTGGATGAAAGGCTGCATGCTAATAATAATAATAATAATAATAATAATAATAATAATCCCCTTCATGGATCACTGCCTTGCCGTGGCGAAGGGGCTTGAATAACTCAGAGAAGCTATGAGCTATGCCGTGCAGGGCCACCCAAGATGGACAGGTCATAGTGGAGCGTTTTGACCAAACGTGATCCACCTGGAGCAGGAACCGGCAAGCCACTCCAGTATCCCTGCCAAGAAAACTCCATGGACAAAGACAACAGGCATATAAAAGTTATGACGCTGGAAGATGAGCCCTCAGGTCGGAAGGTGTCCAACATGCTACTGGGGAAGAGCGGAGGACAAGTACAAGTAGATCCAGAGCTGATGAAGCGGCTGGGCCAAAGCCGAAAGGACGCTCAGTTGCGGATATGCCTGGAAGCGAAAGGAAAGTCCAATGCTGTAAAGAAAAATATTGCATAGGAACCTGGAATGTAAGAACCATGAACCTGGGTAAATTGGATGTGGTCAAAAATGAGATGGCAAGAATAAATATTGACATCCTGGGCATCAGTGAACTAAAATGGACGGGAATGGGCGAATTCAGTTCGGATGACTATCATATCTACTACTGTGGGCAAGAAACCTGTAAAAGAAATGGAGTGGCCCTCATAGTCAACAAAAGAGTGGCGAAAGCTGTACTGGGATGCAATCTAAAAAATGATAGAATGATCTCGATACGAATCCAAGGCAGACCTTTTAACATCACAGTAATCCAAGTTTATGCACCAACTACTGGTGCTGAAGAAACTGAAATTGAGCAATTCTATGAAGACTTACAAGACCTTATAGAAGTGACACCCAACAACAACAAATAATAACAACAACAACAACAACAACAAATAATAATAATAATAATGTAAGTAAGTAAATTTTTATTTATACCCCGCCCTCCCCGGCCAAGACCGGGCTCAGGGTGGCTAACATCAAATAACAAATACATTAAAACACAGTCAAACAATTGATTAAAATACAGCTTAAAAATTGTTGTTGTTGTTTAGTCGTTTAGTTGTGTCTGCCTCCTCGTGACCCCCTGGACCAGAGCACGCCAGGCCCTCCCGTCTTCCACTGCCTCCCGCAGTTTGGTCAAACTCATGCTGGTAGCTTCGAGAACACTGTCCAACCATCTCGTCCTCCGTCGTCCCCTTCTCCTTCTGCCCTCCATCTTTCCCAGCATCAGGGTCTTTTCCAGGAGTCTTCTCTTCTCCTGAGGTGGCCAAAGTACTGGAGCCTCAGCTTCAGGATCTGTCCTTCCAGTGAGCACTCAGGGCTGATTTCCTTCAGAATGGAGAGGTTTGATCTTCTTGCAGTCCGTGGGACTCTCAAAGAGTCTCCTCCAGCACCATAATTCAAAAGCATCCATTCTTCGGTGATCAGCCTTCTTTATGGTCCAGCTCTCACTTCCATACATAACTACTGGGAAAACCAGAGCTTTAACTACACAGACCTTTGTTGGCAAGGTGATGTCTCTGCTTTTTAAGATGCTGTCTAGGTTTGTCATTGCTTTTCTCCCAAGAAGCAGGCGTCTTTTAATTTCGTGACTGCTGTCACCATCTGCAGTGATCGCTTAAAAATTAGAATCAGGATAAAATTAAATGACTGCCCATGAATTACAACCATAGGGGTCAGGAACCTCAAGTATTCATCAGGGCCAACTGTCCATGTTGGTCCCACATGAGCCGATAAAATGGCCAAAGAGGTAACTTACAGGGTCCCATAGTGGGGGGTCAAATTGGGCCTGGACTGAAGGCCAGGTGGAACAGCTCCATCTTGCAGGCCCTGCAAAAGGATGTCAAGTCCCATAGGGCCCTGGTCTCCTGTGCTAGAGCGTTCCACCAGGCTGGGGGCACAACCGAAAAGGCCTTGGCCCTGGTTGAGGCCAGTTTAACCTCCTTGAGGCCCGGGACCTCCAATATATTATTATTTGTGGACCGTAAGGTCCTCCGTGGGACATACCAGGAGAGGTCCCATGAGTACAGGATAATAATAATAATTAATAATAATAATAATGTCCACCATACTTAAAAACTTCCAAGTAGGTTGTTCACAGTTTAGGGGACAACTCAAAATCAGTTTTCTTACTATTGACCAAGGATCCTTGAAACCTACTCCCATGTAGGGCAGCCCAGCAAGGAGAATTAAGGAGGGAAATGAGATGAGTCATAACCACAATGGTTTCCCTACTTCTGGCGGCCCTTTGAAGTCTTCTTCCCTGATGAAATTCACAGACTATCCCCTTCTGAAGGTATGAGATTACCTGTAATGGTGCAAAACTGCTAAGACCAGCAGATCCAATTTTCTCCTGCTTTCAAGACTGGACTAGCGTAAGTGAATTTGGCATATATATCCCTAGGCATTTGCAGTCATGAGGCAGACAGTGAAAACCATGGGGCTGGTGGGGTTGTTCTTTTTTTTAAAGAAAATCCACGCTTTGGATCTGAGGTCCTTTTCATTTCACTTTGGGCTCCTGAGAGAGAGAGCGTGTTTTTCAAAGCTTCCTCCAGAAGCCACGAAGGCTGGGAAATTGCTTTTCAGAAATGAAAGCGGGGAGCCACGATTTCACGGAGCATTGCAGTGTCAGGCTCCACAAAACTCCCAGCATTGCAAGACTTGCGATTAAGGCATTAGAGTTGGCAATTCTGCGGTAATAGATAGGGAAAGGGATTCAAAGCACCTCTCGCTTCCTTCTGTAGTTAGGAGCAAACTGTGAAAAGTGGAATTAAAAGCACTTTTCTTTCTTTCTTTTTTTGCCAACGGAGGAGCTGCTTACTCAGGTCCCACTCCAGGGAAATGTAGACTGCAATTCTGCCTTTCCTAGCAGAACACCAAAGCAAAGCAAGCTCACAACAGAGGGCTTTGGAGGGCAGCGCTTCCATCAAAGCGCCGTGAGCTCATAACCCCTTTCTGCCCATTGAGGTCTCTCCAGCATCTTCACTGCTCAGCCCCAAATGTCCTTCGACTGCAATGTAGCTGGAAGGGCAATTCAAGCACAGCTGGCCATGCTGGTGTTGGAAAAACACCCTGGGGGTGCCTGCAAGCCCCCAAAACTCTGAGCATCCTCTGGTATGTGTAGCTCTGGAAAAGGCATTTCCTTCTTCTCCAGGCTGCTCCAGGGACATATACCAGCTGCTATATGCACACTAATCTTCTGGCAAAACACAGCAAGAAAAGCGAGACATCGTAGACCTAATCAACTATTTATTTACACGCTATGTACAGACAAAAGCATAATGGCATCCCTTTCTCTCCAGCTCCGAAGAAGAAGAGTTTGTTTTTTTTGTTTTTTTTTTTGAATAATTTTTATTAAAGTTTTAAACAAAGAAAAAAGAAAAAACAACACACACACACACACAAAAACAATACAAAATTTAACAATAAAAACACACAACATAACAATTTAAAACAAACTCTCTTTTACATTCCCAATTTTGAATTACTTATTTTCTGGACTTCCTCATACCTCCCTCTTTTGTATTCCAATCTACATTATTTGTCCAGCAGTTTCTTTTCCACTTTTTAAACCCAATCTTTAATTTAATGAAATATTAAGCTATATAGCTTCAGCTTTTTAAACATAATCCTTGTTCTTAATGTCATATACCTTTAAATTTTTCCCTTTTATTATCAAATTTCCATTTCTTTAAACATCTTTAATCTTAATCTTTAATCTTAATCTATCCTTAGCTTTAACCTGTACAGCTGGAAACCACTTATTTTCAATCCAACATCACTCTAACATTCCTTAATTTTGCAGTGTTTCTGAAGATAGTCTTTGAATTTCTTCCAATCTTCCTCCATCGACTCTTCTCCCTGGTCACGGATTCTGCCAGTCATTTCCGCCAATTCCATATAGTCCATAAGTTTCATCTGCCATTCCTCCAGCGTGGGAAGTTCTTGTGTCTTCCAATACTTTGCGATGAGTATTCTTGCTGCTGTTGTTGCATACATAAAGAAAGTTCTATCCTTTTTAACACCATTTGGCCCACTATGCCCAGGAGAAAGGCCTCTGGTTTCTTGGGGAAGGTATACTTAAATACCTTTTTAATTCATTATATATCATTTCCCAGAAAACCTTAATCTTTGGGCACGTCCACCAAAGGTGAAAAAATGTACCTTCAGTTTCTTTACATTTCCAACATTTGTTATCGGGCAAGTGATAGATTTTCGCAAGCTTGACTGGGGTTATGTACCACCTGTATATCATTTTCATAATATTCTCTCTTAAGGCATTACATGCCGTAAATTTCATACCTGTGGTCCATAACTGTTCCCAGTCAGCAAACATAATGTTGTGTCCAACGTCCTGTGCCCATTTAATCATAGCCGATTTTACCGTTTCATCTTGAGTATTCCATTTCAGCAGCAAGTTATACATTCTTGACAGATTCTTAGTATTGGGTTCTAACAATTCTGTTTCTAATTTTGATTTTTCCACCTGGAAGCCAATTTTCCTGTCTAATTTAAATGCCTCCATTATTTGGTAATAATGAAGCCAGTCTCGCACTTTGTTTTTTAATTTTTCAAAACTCTGCAATTTCAGTCTATCTCCGTCTTGTTCCAAAATTTCCCAATATTTCGGCCGCCGAAGAAGAAGAGTTTGGATTTGATATCCCGCTTTGTCACTACCCGAAGGAGTCTCATAGCGGCCAACATTCTCCTTTCCCTTCCTCCCCCACAACAAACACTCTGTGAGGTGAGTGGGGCTGAGAGACTTCAAAGTAGTGTGACTGGCCCAAGGTCACCCAGCAGCTGCATGTGGAGGAGCGGGGAATCAAACCCGGTTCACCAGATTACGAGGCTACAGCTCTTAACCACTACACCACACTGGCTCTCCAAGAGAACAAAACAAAACAACCAAGTAAAGGTGCCAGTACATTACAGCGGAAGAAACAAGACCGTCTTCCATTTCCCACGCTCTTCTCAGATGGGCATGTGATTTACAACAAGCTCATCTGCAGCGTCGGAGGAGTGAAATTGCTAACATCCTCCCCCATTTCAGGTATCCGATGCTGCACACAACGTAACAGGCTGTTTTTGACTATGTAGCTTCTATTTCAAACACAATTCAACATATAATATCTCACAAAGTGTAATTCCATAGACCAACACATCATGCAAACGGAACATATCAAGAAAAATTAAAGTCCAATGGATGATCAGGAGATAAAGTCCATTCGGTTCCTAAACTGGCATATTGGCAATAACCACAATATGGGATGCTTATCTTATGATGTTCTACATATCGCTGCTTTGAGGATTCTAACATTCCTTGCATGTAGATATCGGATCAGATGGAAAACTTGAAGGTATGGCATGACAAGGATTCCGGGATAATACCTTGTTTTGCCTAACTGGGCTTCATCAGTCGTGCATGCTGTAAATTAAACAAACATGATATAACAATCCTTGTACAAAACTAAGTAATGTAACATACAAATTAAACAACAAGTTCACATATCATATTCTTGTATGATGGAAACATGGAACAAAATAAATTCAGTTAATCCAGTCACTGGCCAAAGTTCCTTTTTATACAGAGAGGCAGTAAAATGCCTGACCATTTTGCACCTCTGGCTAGCTTCCTTCCATGGGACTAGAGCCTTAGCTCTGTTTCTGTCTGAGGAAACAGTGTTGGCCCTTGCAGCCTCTGGGCGTGGTATCGCGTCCTTTGAGGACAAACCCTGTACCTCTTGCAAGACCTCAGGTTCGGAAACCTGTTTTGAGTCACTAGCTGCAAGGGCCAACACTCGGAGGAGTGAAATTGCTAACAGCTGTGTCTGCCAGGCAACGAGGCACCAGGAAGGCCAACATGTGGTGCAGTGGTTAGAGTGCCAGTGTAGGACATGAAGCTCACGGGCTGTGACCTTGGGCCAGTTCCTGCCTCTCAGACTGACCTACCTCACAGGGTTGTTGTGGGGATTAAAGGGGGCCCATTAACTAGTGAGTAGCCGTTGCTCAGTTGGTGTGGTGCTGCAAAACATGGGGTTTTGCTGCAAAATTGTTGCTACACTAGCACTGTTTTGGAGTGAATCAGATCACTTTGGGTTTTGGAATGATAGCTACAACTCCTGGTAGGAGCAGCAGCAGAGGCAGAGCAAGGTGGGGGCTTCTTCTTCTTCTTCTTCTTCTTCTTCTTCTTCTTCTTCTTCTTCTTCTTCTGCGACCCCTCGTAGCCGAGTAAGATTGTCTTCCATAAACACAGTTTTAACAATGAGTCCGTAAGTGACTGTGGAGGCCAGTTCTGGATCCACACGTGCGTCCACAGTGGGGACATTGGTTTCTGGGCAGGAGTTGATCACGGTGTGGATTAACCAAGCATGCCTTCCTCTTAGCATGTTTCTCCCTTGCGTCCTGAGTTCGAGTGTCTTCAAAGCCCATGACCCCTTTGGTCAAGGCTGTTCTCCAACTGGAGCGCTCGCAGGCCAGTGTTTCCTAGTTGTCAGTGTTTATACTACATTTTTTAAGATTTGCCTTGAGACAGTCTTTAAACCTCTTTTGTTGCCCACCAGCATTACGCTTTCCATTTTTAAGTTCGGAATAGAGTATTTGCTTTGGAAGACGATCATCAGGCATCCGCACAACATGACCAGTCTAGCAAAGTTGATGTTGAAGAATCATTACTTCAACACTGGTGATCTTTGCTTCTTCCAGGACACTGACATTACTTCGCCTGTCTTCCCAAGTGATGTGTAGTGATAAAAATCAAAGGCCCCATGTTCTTCCACCTCCCAGAGACTGGGGTGTTGAAAAATACTTGAATGTTCAAAATACAAGCCATCAGAGAACACCTTTTCCTCCTTGTCCTGCTTCTACCAGCAGGTGAGGACTATTTTATTTTGACAGGCCTTTGGGAACTGTTTTAAAAAAAATATGAAAGGGGTTTTAGCAGTGCTGTGCTGTTTTTACAATCTGCATTGTAAAATGTAATAGTTGTGTTATTATACAGTTTTAATTCTGCTAGGGTTTAACTACTATAAGCTATTACCTTTTATATGTTTTTAGCTTTCTGCATTTTATCTGTGTTGTTTCAATTTGCGTAAGCCTTGAATCATGGAACTGCTGATTTGTAGAGTTGGAAGGGACCTCTATGTTCCATCTAGTCCACCCCCTGCAATGCAGGAATCCCAGCTCAAGCATCCCTGGCAGGTGGCCCTCCAGCCTCTGCTTAGAACCTCCAAGGAAGGAGAGCCCACAGCCTCCCAAGTGAGTCTGTTCCACTGTTGAACAGCTCTCACTCGAAAATGCGAGATATACGGGGAAATAAAAATAACAGTAATACATTTCTAGCCAGTGTGGCCTAGTGGTTACAGTGCCAGGCTTGGCCTGGGAGACCAGGGTTCAAATCCCTATTCATGAAGCTCTCTCCCTCTCTCTCTCTCTCTCTCTCTCTCTCTCTCTCTGTGTGTGTGTGTGTGAAACAATTTTATTAATTTCCCCAAAATAACAAAGATAAATCAATAGCAATATCAAAGCGAAACAACGCAAAAAAACTTGACTTCCCCCTGGTCCTTTCCTTGTTTCCATTGTTTATCAGCATACTGCATGTCCATTGTAAAGTTATAAACCATTGAAATACTTATTGTCCATTCAAAATTAAATTACAAGAGTTGCCCCCCCAATGGCTGGCATTGTGCAGCTATGGACACCCCAATAATAATAATAATAATTTATTATTTATACCCCGCCCACTTGGCTGGGTTTCCCCAGCCATGCTGGATGGCTTCCAACAAAGTATTAAAATACAGTGGTCTGTTAAAGAGGGCTGTCTTCAGATGTCTTCTAAAAGTTTGGTAGTTATTATTTTATTTTTTTTAAAATATTTTATTAAGGATTTTCTTGTTTTACAGAAGTGTAGTGCCTCGTATTTTTTTTCCCATGTAACATTTTTACAAATCCGTTTCATTTGTTGAGGCATTAGGGGGAGAAGAAAAAAAGCAAAAAACAAAGGGGGGTGGAGAGAGGGAAGATGGATGGGGGTGGGGTCGGGTGGCGGTGTTTCTATTATGTTTAATGTATGTAGAGTTTGGTGTCAGCGTTGCTTGTGTTGTTCACTTGTGTTCCTTTGGTGGTGAGAGAGGTTGGGGTTGGCCTAGGGTGTGATTGTTTGCTTGTGATTGGCTGTGGTGATCTTTGTTTTCGTGTGTGAGTGAGGTGGGTGGGTGTTTTGGATCAGGTTAGCCAGATTGATTTGTATGCTGTTGGTGGATTATTGTCATTGTCCTGTTGGGCTGTGTATGTGATAAATGGGAGCCATACCGGGGTGAAGGCGTCTTCTTCTGTTTGTCCCCGTGTCAGTTTCAGTTTATTAGTTAATTTTTCTAGTAGGGCTGTTTCCCATACTATTTGGTACCATTGGTCCATGCTTACTCCTGACAGGTCTCTCCAGTGTCTGGCTATGGTGTTTCTGTTTGGTAGTTATTTTTCTCTTTGACATCTGGTGGGAGGGCCTTGCACAGGGTGGGCGCCACCACCGAGAAGGCCCTCTGCCTGGTTCCCTGTAACTTGGCTTCTCGCAATGAGGGAGCTGCCAGAAGGCCCTCAGAGCTGGACCTCCGTGTCTGGGCTGAATTATGGTGGTGGAGACGCTCCTTCAGGTATACTGGGTTGAGGCCGTTTAGGGCTTTCAAGGTCAGCACCAACATTTTGAATTGTGCTTGGAAACTTACTGGGAGCCAATGCAGATCTTTCAGGACCGGTGTTATGTGGTCTCGGCGGCCACTCCCAGTCACCAGTCTAGCTGCCGCGTTCTGGATTAGTTGTAGTTTCCAGGTCACCTTCAAAGGTAGCCCCATATAGAGCGCATTGCAGTAGTCCAAGCAGGAGATAACCAGAGCATGCACCACTCTGGCAAGACAGTCTGCGGGCAGGTAGGGTCTCATCCTGCATACCAGATGGAGCTGGGAGACAGCCATCCTGGACATAGAATGGACCTGCGCCTCCATGGACAGCTGTGAGTCCAAAATGACTGCCAGGCTGCGCACCTGGTCCTTCAGGGGCACAGTTACCCCATTCAGGACCAGGGAGTCCTCCACACTATTCGTGGTAATTTGGGGGTGCTGGGCGGATATTTGCACCCTGGCGCCACATCTGCTAAAGACGGCCCTGGATGCAAATGCAATAAATTGGTAAAAATAAGCACTCTTCCCCCAGTAGGTGAACTGTTCCAGTGCAGATGGAGTCTGGAGTTGGGATGTTTTGAAATGAGTGACACCTGCACACACAGAACTGACCCACGCCGTTTGAGCTGATCCAGATCCTTCAAAGGGCTGCGTTATCCACCTCCCTGCCCGTTTGGATCAGCGTTGCCACCGCGGGGCAAAAGCTGTCACGTCCATCTTTGTTCCGTCGAGACTGCCTGCTCTCTCTTTTGTGAAAAGGACAGGTCTGGTTTTGCAGGGAATTGACAATATTATGTGCAACTGCCCAGCTCGTCAGTCGCAGCGTAGAAAACGCACCGGAGGCTACAGTTAGTGCAGGACGCTGCAGCACAATTGCTAACAGGAGCCAGGCCTTGTCGGCAGAGAACTCTTCGCTGCTCAGAGATCTGCGCTGGTGGCGGATTTGTTACCAGGCTGGGTTCAGGGGGTTATTGTTAGTACACGGAGCCCTTGACAACTTGGGAGCGGTTTATCTGTGAAATCATGTTCCCCCTTGACCGGCAGAATTGTTACAGGTGTCACACAATCCTCATTGGGTGTTTGTAAGGACTCCCTTTTTAGTGTGCCAGCATCTACACTTTGGAACTCCCTGCCTCATGACAACAGGCAGTCTCCTTCATTGTAAAATACATTTTAATGTATTTTTAATCTTTTGTTGGAAGCCGCCCAGGGTGGCTGGGAAAACCCAGCCAGATGGGCAGGATAGAAATAATAAATTATTATTGTTATTGTTATTGTTATTGTTATCATTATTACTCTTTTCCGTGCCTGCTAAAAACATTTCCACTCAGTCTGTAATTTTAACCTTTCAAAAGTCTTCAAACATTGTTGTTGATTCTCCTTATTGGTGATTTTTTTGTTTTGTCTTTATTGTTTTTGCTTTCCAACCGAGTGGTGTATAATTCTTATGAAATAAATGAATAAACCTTCAAAAATTAGGAAATATTCCCTGACAAAATAGACCCTTCATTTGAGTTCACAGGGCAATCCCCGAAGCCATCTTGACTCTCTTAATGACCCCAAATATTTTCTCTGCAGCCAAAAAGACACACCTTGGAAAAACCTTTTCCGATAGAGACCGGCTGAGTTCTTTTCACTTGCAAATCCTTCAAATCCTGTAAATAGATAAGCTTCTCCTGTGAATGGGCAATCCCTCTGCAAAACCTGTTAAAAGCAGAGCAGCCCTGTTGGAAAGAACATCATTGTGCATGAATGGGGAATGTCCTTGACAATGGATTCAAAAGTGAAGGCATTTGCTATTCTTAAATAATAGCCCAGACTGTCAAGCAGAAAGCAATCAGCAAGCATTGTCAGATATCTTGAGAGACAGGGGACAAGTCCCTCTTTCAAATTTCTGTGATGCATGTATGTTGCTTGTGGGTGGCCTTTGGCTAAACCTAGGGGATTTCTGGGACGCTGGTGTCGTTGTGGTCTAAACCACTGAGCCTAGGACTTGCCGATCAGAAGGTCGGCGGTTTGAATCCCTGCAACGGGGTGAGCTCCCATTGCTCGGTCCCTGCTCCTGCCAACCTAGCAGTTCGAAAGCACGTCAAAGTGCAAGTAGATAAATAGGTACCGCTCCGGCAGGAAGGTAAACGGCGTTTCCGTGCGCTGCTCTGGTTCTCCAGAAGCGGCTTAGTCCTGCTGGCCACATGACCCGGAAGCTGTACGCCAGCTCCCTTGGCCAATAAAGCGAGATGAGCGCCGCAGCCCCAAAGTCAGCCACGACTGGACCTAATGGTCAGGGCTTACTTTACCTTTACCTTTAGGGGATTTCTAAAGTCTTCAAAAGTTGTTGCACGCCTTTACTCTGGCTCCTCACCTTCTTGCCAGGGTCCGGGAGGAACTCTGTTGCAACAGGGGGGAAAAGGTTTTCCTTGCTTTCCTCAACTGCTTCCTGCCTCCACCCATTGTTCCCTGCCTGATAATGAACTTAAGGGATAGGGGGAGGGAGCTGGGCTGTAAAAGTTAACCCCAAATTTCCATATAACAGATTCATTGTCAAAGGGAATGGGCGGGGGGGGGGACAGGTGAGTCATGAGGGATGCTGAGGGCTGTGTGAGCCATGGGAGATTTCCATCCCTGCTGCATTCCAAGTGGGGCTTTGAGAGGAATAATAATAATAATAATAATAATAATAATAATAATAATATACATTTATACCCCGCCCATCTTGCTGGATTTCGCCAGCCACTCTGGGTGGCCTCCAACAAAATATTAAAAATACAATAAAAGCCATCCCACAGTTGGGGAGCCAACGCAGAAAAGGCCTGTTCTGATGGCGATGGTGATAACAATACCCCGCCCATCAGGCTGGGTTTCCACAGCCACTCTGGGTGGCTTACAGCATATATAGGTCCGGTGGTGGCCGACTCCGGGGTTGCGGCGCTCATCTCGCTTTATTGGCTGAGGGAGCCGGTGTGCAGCTTCCAGGTCAACATTAGGAAGAATTTCCTGACAGTAAGAGCTGTTCGACAGTGGAATTTGCTGCCAAGGAGTGTGGTGGAGTCTCCTTTGGAGGTCTTTAAGCAGAGGCTTGACAACCATATGTCAGGAGTGCTCTGATGGTGTTTCCTGCTTGGCAGGGGGTTGGACTCGATGGCCCTTGTGGTCTCTTCCAGCTCTATGATTCTATGATTCTATGATTCTATGTGGCCAGCATGACTAAGCTGCTTCTGGCGAACCAGAGCAGCGCATGGAAACGCTGTTTACCTTCCCGCTGGAGCGGTACCTATTTATTTACTTGCACTTTGACGTGCTTTCGAACTGGCAGGAGCAGGGACCAAGCGACGGGAGCTCACCGCGTCGTGGGGATTCGAACTGCTGATCTTTTGATCATCAAGTCCTATGCTCTGTGGTTTAACCCACAGCGCCACCCGTGTCCCACACAGCATATATAAAAACCTAATAAAGCAAAAACATTAAGAACTTCCCTAAACAGGGCTGCCTTCAGATGTCTTCTAAAAGTTACATAGTTCTTTATCTCCTTGACACCTGGAGGGAGGGCGTATGGGCTCTGTGATCCTTAGATGAAGGGTGGTGTATTAAGTAATAAAATTGAAATGAAATTAAATTCTTACCTACGCAGGAGATGTGGAATGTGCCAGGGGAGGTGGGGGTGAGAATTCAATTTTGGATGAGAAGAAGTTTTGGAGGGACAGAGAGCAGGCGGTGAAGCCGCTGAGCAGCCAGAGAAATGGTGGGCGCTGCTCCTTACACAGACCGGCAGCAGCCAGAGGGTCAGCTGGACATTGGAACATGCAGCCCAGTAGCAAGGCATTCCAGGGGGGTTGGACTAGATGACCGTTGGGTGTCTCTTCCAACACTGCAATTCTGGAAAGCTGCAAAGCTTCTGTCTCTGGAGGCTTAAGAGCAGTGATGGGACAAACCATGCATCCTGCTGTAGTTGAATCACATGAATACCTCTCTCTCTCTCTCTCCTCTCCCCTCCTCTCCTCCTCCTCCTCCTCCTCTTTTTCCTCCTCCTCCTCCTTCCTCTCCCCCTCCTCCCCCTCCCCCTCCTCCTCCTTCTCCTCCTCCTCCTTCTCTTCCTTCTTCTCCTTCTCTTTCTCTTTCTCTTTCTCCTCCTCCTCCTCCTTCTCCTTCTCCTCCTTCTTCTCTTTCTCCTCCTCCTCCTCCTCCTTCTCCTTTTCCTTCTCCTCCTCCTTCTTCTCTTTCTCCTCCTCCCCCTCCCCCTCCTCCTCCTTCTCCTCCTCCTCCTTCTCTTCCTTCTTCTCCTTCTCTTTCTCTTTCTCTTTCTCCTCCTCCTCCTCCTTCTCCTTCTCCTCCTTCTTCTCTTTCTCCTCCTCCTCCTCCTCCTTCTCCTTTTCCTTCTCCTCCTCCTTCTTCTCTTTCTCCTCCTCCTCCTCCTCCTCCTCCTCCTCTTCCTTCTCCTTCTTCTCCTTCTCCTCCTTCTCCTTCTTCTTCCTCTCCTCCTCCTCCTTCTCCTTCTCTCTCTTTTTCAGGGCAGTCGTCCTTCTGCTTGCCTCCACCCTCACCTTCTCTCTCTCTCTCTCTTGAATCTTTTTGCGGTCTGGGCTTGCTGTTCCTCCAGTCAGTAGTCAGGAAGCCCTTACCCCAAAAAGTATTTGCGAGGGATCAAGTCGTCTCCGCAGGAAACCAAGGAGGACTGTGATTGCAAAGGTAGGCAAAACTCAAGGCCACGTGGATGTTTGCAGGCACGAGAGAGCATTGGGATGGGGGGGGGTGTCCCTTTGTGGATCAGCAGCCCACCCCTCCCTTGGGGGAACATGGAGCAGCATGGAATCATGGAATTGTGGAGCTGGAAGGGTCCTCTAGTCCAACCCCCTGCAGAACCTCCATGGCTGATGGCCATCCAGCTTCTGCTTAAGAACCTCCAAGGAAGGAGAGTCCATCGGACACAGGTCTCTGGGCACGGGAGGTGTTATGTCACCTCTTTCAATTTTAGTCCCTATTTCTAAACTTTCATCCATCCATATCAATCAGCATATGCACATTTTATGTAAATCCACATCTCCTTTTGCCCTATGTCTTTGACAACTGCCATTCCGACTGTGCATTGCTCAGGCAAGTGAGCCAAGCTGTGTAAAATAAATCATCTTGATAATCTGATTTTTGGGGTGGGGGGTGGGGAATAGGGATAACACGGTTTCCTTTCCAGGCCTGACACTGCAGTCCAACAGTCCCTGAACACAAGGAAACCCCTGAGCCCACTGCATCGCTCCATCGCACAGTCTTTGGGGCAAAATCTCCCTAGGACATTGTCTACTCCAGTCCTACCCACTTGGAGCCTGTAGCTTTCTTGAATGTGAATGTTTGACAGCAGAATGGACAACCTGGGAAGGCTCTTCTTCATCTGAGGTTCTTAAGCAGAGGTTGGGTGACCATCTGTCAGGTGTCCTTTATCTGAGATTCCTGCACTGTGGGGTCCCTGTTCTATGATTCTCTGTTTTGAAGTGATGTTATTATTAATATTTTCTTGAGTAACAATAGAACATACTGAGTCTATTTTCAAGTCGGTGAATCATTCAGACATGACAACAGTCCTATGATTCATTGAAGGTTTTAAAGAGAGGTCAGATGGCCACCTGTCAGGGATTTTTAGCAGCCATTCCTGCACAGCGGGGGGCTGGACTAGATGTCCTCTGGGGGTCCCTTCCAACTCTACACTTCCGCGATGCTAAATGGTGTGGGGTGTGAAACACAGAGCAGTCAAGTACAACATTCCTAGAGTGGACATAAAAGGGGATGTCTGGACCAGCCAGTCGGAACTTCCTGTTTCCTCCTGGGCTGGGACAGACTTCCTCTGCATGTGACTAGAGGTGGGCGTGGCCTCACCTGTGCAGGTAATGACAAAAGCACAGGGCAGGGCAGCCCTCTCTCTCTCTCTCTGACTACATGCATCGAAGAAGCAACATCTGCTTAGCCAAAGATGCTCTTTTCCAGCCAAGAGAGGACAAAGGAACTTTCTCCTTATGGGATAGATTCCAGGTGTATATATTTTGTAACTTAAGTCTGCCTTCTGGGATCCTTCTGTGAACAGAATGTGAGTAAACTCTTTTATATACTTTGATACAAGACTGTGTCGTATCTATTCTTTTAAGAGGGAGTAAAGGGGAATTATCAGGAAACTTATTTTAGAGGCTTAAACAAGCCTAGCAAAGATGTAATAATAATAATAATAATTTATTATTTATACCCCGCCCATCTAGCTGGGTTTTCCCAGCCACTCTGGGCAGCTCCCAAAAGAATATTAAAATACAATAGTCTATTAAACATTAAAAGCTTCCCTAAACAGGGCTGCCTTCAAATGTCTTCTAAAAGTCTGGTAGTTGTTTTTCTCTGACATCTGGTGGGAGGGCGTTCCACAGGGAGGGCGCCACCACCAAGAAGGCCCTCTGCCTGGTTCCCTGTAGGTTTGCTTCTTGCAAGGAGGGAACCGCCAGAAGGCCCTCGGCACTGGACCTCAGTGTCCGGGCGGAACGATGGGGGTGGAGATGCTCCTTCAGGTCTACTGGGTCCTTGAGGCCATTTAGGGCTTTCAAGGTCAGCACCAACACTTTGAATTGTGCTTGGAAACGTACTGGGAGCCAATGTAGGTCTTTCAAGACCGGTGTTACGTGGTCTCGGAGGCCGCTCCCAGTCCCCAGTCTAGTTGCCACGTTTTTGATTAGTTGTAGTTTCTGGGTCCGCTGCACAAGTTTAAATAGGGGGATGTTAAATTATAGAACTTGTTAACACAAGTTGGGAAGGATATAATTAAACACTCTCCTGCCTCCCTGAACATTCCCACCACTGGCTCTCCCTTGCCACCCTGCCTGCCTCCCCCACCCCCAGCAAGCCCCCTTCCCCCTCCCTTTCTGCTGACTCTTGTCTAGGGCAGGGCTCCATCCCCCTACGGCCCCCTCCAAGGTCACCGTCCCAGCTGGCCTTTGCTCTCCCCCCTCCAGCCGGCTCTCCCCCCCCGCACACCGGTCTCTTCCCTGAGCAGCGCCAGCCTCTGGGCAGCTGAGAGTAATTGGATCTGGCGTTGTGGCGACAGGCAAGCTGGAGGACAGCGAAAGGGTTTCTCACCCTTCGGAGGGAGGAGAGTTGTGGCGTTTTTTGCACGGAAGGTAATGCTTGACAAATAGCTTGCCCTAGAAACTTCACATTTGGTTTATTCATGTATCCTCTATGGGCACAAGTGCCTTTGACGAAGAGGGATCCGGGAGGCCGGCTGGTGAAAACGGCAGAAGCTGCCACTCTCCCCCCCCCCACTTCGCCCCCCGCTCAGGCCAGAAGCACTGCATGACTTTCAGGGAGCAAAAGGCAGGAAGCAGGGAGAGATGGAGAGATGGAGAGACTGTGTCCTTCTTTGCAGCGGCCAGGCACGCGTCCTGGACTGGCTGCACAGAAGGGGACACTGAGGCACAAGGATGGGGGGGTGGCAGGAAGCCTGGGGCAAAAGCGTTTGCCCTGCAGGTACCCAGAGGGCAGGGTCCAAGCCAAGTCTCGTTCCAAGGAGCTTTTCTGTTCCAGGTGTGTAGAATCATTGAATTGTTGAGTTGGTACCCAAGGGTCATCTAGCCCAACCCCCTGAAATGAAGGAACCACAACTAAAGCCTCCCTGACAGGTGGCCATCCAACCTCTGCTCAAAAACCTCCACCACCTTCAGAGGGAGCCCGTTCCACCGCCAAGCAGCTCTTCCTGTCAGAACGTTCTTCCTAACTTTGAGCCAACATCTCCTTTCTTGTAACTTGAAGCCATGGGTTCGTGTCCTGCCCTACAGAGCAGGAGATAACAAGCTTGCTCCATCTTCCATGAGATAGCCCTTCGGATATAGGAAGGTGGCTCTCCTATCTCCTCCTAGTCTTATCCTTTCCAGGCTAAACATCCCCAACCCCTCAACCGTTCCTCACAAGGAATGGTTTCTAGACCCTCGATCATCCTGGTCCCCCTCCTCCTTCCACACACTTGATCATGACTCTAGACAGAAGAAGGCTCCTTTCTCCAAATGGAGACAATGGCACCAGTGGTTGCTATTTGTGCTCAGTAACCAAAGGCACTAGGCCACTTTATGCAGATTTGGGTGTGCCCAGGCAGATGATATTTTTTGTGCTTGTACTGCAGAAAGCTTGTTTTCTGCTGCTCCAGAAGATAAGATCCTAAACCAGCCTTTCTCAACCTGTGGGTCCCCAGATGTTGTTGAACTACAACTCCCATCACCCCTAGCTAGCAAGCTCAGGGGTGATGGGAGTTGTAGTCCAACAACATCTGGGGACCCACAGGTTGAGAACCGCTGTCCTAAACCAATGGCTTCAAGTTCTGACCGGAAGGGGATTCCGACTTTAACATCTGGATGACCCTCAGGAATCCCTTCCAACTCCATAATTCATGGGTAGGCAAACTAAGGTCCATGGGCCAGATCAGGCCCAATTGCCTTCTGGATCCGGCCCGCGGACGGTCCGGGAATTGCTGCGTGGATTGCCAGCATGCACACGTTCTCTCCCCCTCCATCGCACGGCAGTGCTGGCACCTCCTCCCTCCCTCCTCCTGGCTTCTCCCCGCCCTGCCTAGAGGAGGAAGGGGCTGGGTGTTGTTGGTGACAGCAGCAGCCACGGTCGGTTGGCTGAGTGCCATTTTAAGCAGCCCCTTTCTGGAGCCCTTTCACACGCCGCTCATCGTCCCTCTGTCACCACCACCAGCCCCTGCCGCTCACAAGACACAGGTAAGCAGCCACTGGGGCTCATGGTGCTCTTGTATCCCCCCCCAATATATAGTCTGGCCCCCCACAAGGTCTGAGGGACAGTGGACCAGCCCCCTGCTGAAAAAGTTTGCTGAGCCCTGCCATAATTCTATGATTCTTTGATTGCAGGATTCTGGTGCTTGGGCCATCCGAATCGCTTGCCAGGATCACCAGCGGTGGCGCCGAAACCTTTATGAGCGACAGCGTGCCAGACTGTCACTTGTGCTCACGACAAAACAAGGGAGAGAGGAAACCCGTTTGCCAGAAGATGGTGTCACCAGAGCAGGATGAGCTGAAACAGCTGCTGGTGCTGAGAAGACTTTTGGAAAGCAGAAAGAGTTCAGGGGAGGGCGGGAGGCTCAGGGCAGAAAGAGGGGAGAGGGTGGTCCCAGGCTGAATCGTGACTTCTCCAGTTTAAAAAGGAACCACAGGGAGTGGAGCTGTGGAAGACGGAGAGTCATGGACCTTGGAGAAGCATCACTGCCAATCAGAGCAGATGATAAAGGACTGGAGGGAGCATAAGAGACATGCGCCTTGCCTTGCCCCCGTGATTGAGAGAGTCCAGGGGTTCCCGACTAAAGAACTGTGGCAAGAGAAACTGATGGACTATGCAGAATTGGTGAAACTGACACATAAACTGCGTGACAAGGACAACTGTGACTTTAAAGAAGAATGGGAACCTTTCACAAAGTACTTAAACAAACAACAAAACGAACTGGACTCCTTGGCAGGTTTTGAATAAACATACACAAATTTATTACTAACAACATACACATAGATAAATTAAGGTTCTTTGCAATTTTAGAATATGCAGCTAATTACATGTATTGAGAAACCAGAGAGAGGAACTGAGGGAAGTCGGGGGGGGGGGGTTGGATCTTTCTCAGGAGGGGAAAATGGGGGGGGACGGAATAAGGATGATATGTCTTTTGATAAAATGTTATGTTGAAATTGCTAATAAAAACTTTATAAAAGAGAGAGAGAGTCCAGGGGTGCTAGAGACATCAGCTACAGAAGTTTGGGGGGGTGTCTGGCCCTCTGGTTTGGAATTGGGGGGGTGCTTGGCTCCCACTGCCCCCCATAGAAGAACCTGAGAAGAGCCTGCTGGATCAGGCCAGTGGCCCACCTTTCCCAGCATCCTCTTCTCACAGTGGCCAGCCAGCTGCTTATTATGGGAAACCCACAAGCAGGATCCAGGCACAGGAACTCTCTCCCTTCTGCCCTTTCCAACAGCCATTGCTCTGGACTCCAGGCCTTGGCTGACCCAGCAGAAGAAGCCCCATTAATGAGCCGGCAGGGAAGGGGCACCGTTCACACAGCAGGGGTGTCAGATCTGGAGTCAGATGCAAAGGGACGTGTGAGTGGCCAAGAGCAGCTTGATTTGACTGTTGTTTAGTCGTGTCTGCCTCTTCGTGACCCCCTGGACCAGAGCACACCAGGCCCTCCTGTCTTCCACTGCCTCCCGCAGTTGGGTCAAACTCATGCTGGTAGCTTCGAAGACACTGTCCAACCATCTCGTCCTCTGTCGTCCCCTTCTCCTTGTGCCCTCCATCTTTCCCAACATCAGGGGCTTTTCCAGGGAGTCTTCTCTTCTCCTGAGGTGGCCAAAGTACTGGAGCCTCAGCTTCAGGATCTGTCCTTCCAGTGAGCACTCAGGGCTGATTTCCTTCAGAATGGAGAGGTTGGATCTTCTTGCAGTCCATGGGACTCTCTAGAGTCTCCTCCAACACCAGAATTCAAAAGCATCCATTCTTCGGCCATCAGCCTTCTTGGTGGTCCAGCTCTCACTTCCATACATCACTACTGGGAAAACCATGGCTTTAACTATACGGACCTTTGTTGGCAAGGTGATGTCTCTGCTTTTTAAGATGCTGTCTAGGTTTGTCATTGCTTTTCTCCCAAGATTTGGCTAGAGGCTCCCAATTTGCTTTTTTTGGAGGGCAGAACAGAGCCATTCTGGCCAGGAGCCATAGATAGCCCTCTCCTCCTCCATGGATTTGTGTGGTCCTTTTTTAAAGACATCCAGGTTGCCAGCCATCGACTTCCTGGGGGAGGGACTTCCACAGTTCAACTGTGTGCTGCATGAAGAATCTCCCAACATCAGCTTCACATTCAGAGGCTGTGTATTGATTTAATTTACTTCATTTTATTTTATTTTATATTACATCTTACCCAAATTGTAAACTATGTCACCTGGCTTTGTTCATCTCTTCTCTCCTGTGATGCACCACCTGCTGACAGAAGAAAGCCAGCAGTAAATCCCACTGAGCAAGCTGGATCTGCACAGGAGTGTCAGGCCTAGTGAGCACAGCAACTCAGGTCTTGCCGAGACTGAAGGTCCCTGCCTTCCCACCGCTGGCTATGCCTCTTCCTCCCCAGGGCTTTCCCCAAGCAATCAGAGACTGTGCCTGCATGCTTCTCTTTGCTCTGACCTTTTCATGCCTCTCCTGGTTCTGGGAGACCATGTGGGGGGAGCTTGTCACGGCAGGAGTGGGAGACACCAGGGCCTCTTCACCAGCCTGACCCATCTCTGCCTCTTGGCCTCCCTCCTCTCCTGCTTCTGATTCTGGACTTCTCTCTGCCACGGCCTCTTCCTGCTCACTAAGCCCTGTTGCCTCTTCAGCTTCCGACACCTCATCCTCTCAGGCTTCCCCTCTTCTCCCTCTGGCTAATAATAATAATAATAATAATAATTTATTACTTATATCCCACCCATCAAGCCAGGCCTCCCCAGCCACTCTGGGCAGCTTCCAACAGAACATTAAAAACACGATAAAACATCAAACATTAAAAACTTCAAAAACAGGGCTGCCTTCAGATGTCTTCTAAAAGCCAGGTAGCTGTTTATTTCCTTGACATCTGATGAGGGGGTGTTCCACAGGGTGGGTGCCACCACTGAGAAGGCCCTCTGCCTGGTTCCCTGTAACCTCACTTCTTGCAGGGAGGGAACCGCCAGAAGGCCCTCAGCGCTGGACCCTGGTGTCCGGGGTGGAGACGCTCCTTCAGGTTTACTGGGCCGAGGCCAGAGATGCATTTTTTTAAAAAAGGACACATTCTACTCATGTAAAAACACACTGATTCCTGGACTGTCCATGGGTTGGATTGAGAAGGCGATTGGGCTGCATCCGGTCCCTGGGCCTTAGGTTGCCTACCCCTGGTTTAGGGCTTTCAAGGTCAGCACCCACACTTTGAATTGTGCTTGGAAACATACTGGGAAACAATGTAGGTCTTTCAGGACTGGCATTATGTGGTCCTGACGGCCACTCCCAGTCCCCAGTCTGGCTGCCGCTTTCTGGATTAGTTGCAGTTTCCAAGTCACCTTCAAAGGTAGCCCCACGTAGAGCGCATTGCAGTAGTCCGAGCTACTCATTGTCTGAGCCTTCTTCCCTTGGGGATTCCCCACCTGCTATCTCTCACCATCCCTCTGGCATGTCTAGAGGCTGTGCAAACCTTTTTGCAGCCTTCCCACCTGCCTGCTATACCAGGGAATGCTGCTGTTATCTGGTTCCTAGCTGTGTGCCAAAGAGACGGGTTTAAAATGCTGCCAAAGCGCCCCAGCGCCTGGTTGCTCCCCTCCTTCGACAGCAGATGTCCGGCTGGTCTCCCAACAGCCTGGTGAGGCAGTCTTGGTGCCAGGCCCTGGCAAAAGTGCCATGCCCTGTGGACTGACTCCTGCCCTCTGCTGCAGGTCCTTCTCTGCAGTGTGGACGGGGCCTTTCCCTCTGGCACCCACTCCTGAAAGGCCTTGTGGATGTTTCACAGTGGAGCTGGAAAGAGCCTCACCACTGCCAGGAGCCGAGGGCTTCCTTCGGGGGGGCGGGGGGGGGAGAGACCAAGAGAGGTTTCCACACGGATGGAGGAGGAAGCATCTTTGGGGAAGCCGGGCATGAGAATCGGGCCGGAGGGAGGGAGACTGCCTGAGCCCAGCCAGCACAACGTGACTGTGCAGAGAGAACGCTCCAACTGGGTGCTAGCAAGGAGCTCAAGGGGAGGGGCTGTTTCCGGGTGGGGGGGAAATGGATGCCTCTCCCAGGCCCCCTCACCCAGCTCTCCCCATTGAGCAAAGCAGCCCAATGCCTGCTGGAGGGCTGTGGGGAGGCAAGTTGCAGCCCGCTCTGGACTCCAGGCCATTGCTGACCCAGCAGAAGAAGGCCCATTAATGAGCTGGCAGGGAAGAGGCTCCGTTTACATAGCAGGGGTGTCAAATCTGGAGTGGATGAAAAGGGATGTGTGAGTGGCCAAGAGCAGCTTGATTTGACTACGAGGCTCCCAATTTGCTGTTTATTTCGAGAGATGTATTTCACTGCTTTTCCACATGTAGCAAATGTAATTTGAAATACAATAGGCAAGCACAATAGCAGGCTAGCCTGTCATTTCTTGGGGGAAGGCGTGACAGCGCTGCTTAGAACAAGTTTATGATGCATATTAAAGACTCCAGTCCAATAAGTCTCTCCAGATGTTCCTGCGGGTCTTGGAAAAGGGGGGTTGTCTCAATTGATCACCTCGTCTCTCCTGCAGGAGATGAATGGCTGCCAGGTGTTGTGAAAGGATAAAGGACTCATCTTGCCACCCAGTTTTCAAAACCAGCTCCCTCCCATGTCCTTTTCATTTCACTCACACACAAACCTTCTCTAAATCTTCCTGCTTTTCTCTGCATCCCAATTCCCGCCCCCCACCCCAGCAGTCCCTTTTGAGCTGAGGTGACGCTTCCATCCAGGAGTTGAGCTGAGCTCAGACAGACAGAGCTATGGATGAACCCCACCCCGCCCCCACCGCCATCTTTGCAACTCATTTGAATGCTAATTAAAATAGCTTTCCTAAATCTTGACTGCTCAATGGCTCAGATCGAGGGCTTGGGATTTGAGCTCCCAGCTGCTGCGGGTTCTGCTTGTTTTGTGGGCAGCAAAGGCAGTGGTGCTGGGCACAATCTCTAACCCGGGGAGGGAGAAAATTTGGAGGCCGGCTCAGCATTCCACATCCTGATAATCTGGAAGCTGCAGAGAGTCCTGAATTCTGCAGCGCGATTGCCAGGCCTTGTCAGCATTGCACACCAAGATGTTTCTCATAGCATAGACAAGAAGGTGCTGATAGAATCTCAGTAGGCTGATAAGTTTAAAAGTAGAGAAGTAAAAAAAAAGGAAAAATTACCGTATTTTTTGCTCTATAAGACTCACTTTTTCCCTCCTAAAAAGTAAGGGGAAATGTGTGTGTGCGTCTTATGGAGCGAATGCAGGCTGCGCAGCTATCCCAGAAGCCAGAACAGCAAGAGGGATTGCTGCTTTCACAGCGATCCCTCTTGCTGTTCTGGCTTCTGAGATTCAGAATATTTTTTTCCTTGTTTTCCTCCTCCAAAAACTAGGTGTGTCTTGTGGTCTGGTGCGTCTTATAGAGTGAAAAATACGGTACTTCCCTGGGTAGCAGTCAATGCTAATTACAGTCCTGTTATCTGCGGAGCTCCGAAGCCTGCTTGCTAAGCCGTCACCATCTTCGAACCCATAAAACACCTTGGCTACTCAGTGATCTGAACTGGTAGCCAATTTGCTACTGGACCAAGTTCAAGGTGTTGCTGTCAGGATACAAAGCCCTTAACAACCTGGGACCAGTTTGCCACGGATATGCCCTCTGCTGCAGGTGACATCTAATGCCCATTCCACCTTCGTAAGAACTCCATCTTTCAGTGGGGCAGCAGCCACACTCTGGAACTATTGATACGGCGCTGTGCTCTGTTTGGCGCCTGCTAAAAATATTTCTGTTTAGTCGAGTCCACCCAGACATGTCGATGTTTTTGTTTTTAGTTCCTTGCTGGTTTTATCTATTGAATGGTTTAAGGATTCATTTTCATGGGTAACTTTATTGTTTTATTCTC